TTTTCTTCTTTGGCGCGGCTAATGGCCAGCGTCAGAGTTTTCCGCGCCTGTCGGTACTCCTCATGAAGCCGGTCCTCCTCACCGTCTCCACGGTGACGCCGCCGACTGCGCGTGTAGGACCTCCGGGCACGTGTACAGGCCGCACGGAGGTCCGCCAGCTCCTGGGACCACCAGTAGACCTCCTTCCTTGGAGGCAACTTGACACAAACCCTATACCAACCCGTCTGGCCAGCGTGGTATAGCAGGCCAAAACCTCCTTTCTAAGGAGAGGCCTTGTCCAGCAATGGACTATTAAAGGCTGTTGATGTGATGTGATATATAACATATTAAATTAGTGCCATATTTTATTTATAAAATATGTATATATTATGCTAACAAAATAAAGTTAAGTAGTAGTACAATAGACAGTATAAAACTAATAACAACTAACAAAAAAACATGTTTCATAAAATGTAATATTACTAACTCGAACATATTCCAGAATATATCAATATCAATCAATCAATTTGTATTAAGTAAACGGACTTAGAAAAGTATTTTTGGGAAGAAAACTAGTACTACCATTATCATCATAACCTAAGCTGAAAAACGTCCACTGCCTGACATAGGCCTCCTCCTAGGCTCTCCACAACAACCGGTCCTGTGCTGCCAGCATCCAACGGCTTCCCGCTAGTAGTAGTAGTAGTAGTTTTTTTCCTAATATACTTTAACACAACTGTTTTGGAATAATATTATTGGCATAATAATACTAAGCTATAATTTATTTTTGGCACACAGTTTATGTTGACATAATTATCTCTTAGGCTAATTTGTTTTAGCATAACTTTCAATCGCATAATGTTACTAGGCATAATAACTATTAACCTAATAGTATTTAGGTATAAAAATCAATAGGAATAATGGTATGTGTATCAGCAGGTTAAGGTGGGGGGACGCCTATAAAATTGTGTTTTAATATTAACATTATTATGTGTAAGTTGTTATTCGTAAATAATGTTATGTATAAACATAATTCCGATAAACAAAATTATGCCATGTTATATTATTTCTTCAAATTTTATGCGAATGGATAATGAACCCTAGAATACGCTCTTAAAATCTGTTACGGTTGCTGAAATCACACCTTAAGTCGTTAAAGTCTTGACCAAGGTTCATTTACTTATATATTTAAGTATATAAAGAGATGTTACGAATCGCCAACTAATCACTTCATATCCGTCTGTCATTTTAATAAAACTAAAATGAGTTTTCTGAACAAAGTTGTGTTGATTACTGGAGCCAGTTCTGGGATTGGTGCAGCTACAGCAATAAAATTTATAGAAAACGGCGCAAGTGTTGCTCTGGTTGGAAGAAACAAAGACAGGCTGAATAAGGTCTCTGAGATATGCACAGCCTCCGATCATAAACCTCTGCTTTTAGAAACTGATGTGACAAATGATGAATCTGTTATAAAAATGGTTAACGATACCATAAGTCATTACGGAAAACTTGACGTCTTAGTAAATAACGCAGGATTTATAAACTTTAAATCCATTTTATCTGAAAACTGCATGGAAGTATTTGACAAGATAATAGCCACAAACCTACGCGCAGCTGTTTACCTAACACATCTGAGTGCACCACATCTTATCAAAACGAAAGGAAATATTATAAATATCTCTAGCGTATCGTCTTTTAGGTCAACAACAAGAGAAACGTTTGCTTACGACACATCGAAAGCTGCCCTGGATCATTTCACTCGGACTTCTGCCCTCGAGCTTGCACCGAAAGGAGTTCGAGTTAATAGTGTCAATCCAGGTTTAGTACCAACTGACATTTTACGGACCTTGGGCCTAGATAAGACTATACTCGACAGTTTTTGGGACAGTTTAAGGAAGACAACACCTTTAGGAAAGCTGGCAAGTCCTGAAGAAATCGCTGACCTTATAATGTTCATTGCGAGTGATAAGGCGAAGAGTATAACTGGTTCTACATTTGTGTCAGATAATGGATTTAGTTTACTGCCCACTTTAGGGAACTTGGATAAACTAACGTAAAAATTATGTGAAGTAATTCTGTGAATGTGAGTAGTCCTGTACCAAAAACATTCAATTTTGTTTCTGCATCTGTCTTAAGATTTAAGACCATAGTAGTTATGCATGGACTACTTAACTATTATGCCAATTAATGTGGCTGTTATCGAACATCTGTAAATTATATATTGTTTTCTTGTTCCAAATAAAGATTCTCATCTCAAGACCTCTTTATTTCATTAAATATGCATTTTACTTGCAAATTACATTATATTTTTAAATATATTTATGATTCATACAAAAAAAAACAAACTACATCTAAAAAATAGTGTCCCATCGGTAGGTAGGTAGGTAGATTTTTATTCTCTCAGCTATTTAGCTGGTTCTACTGCATTCCTGAATAAACCGAGTAAATGCAGCATGTGGTGTGTACATTATGTTTTATGTACCGTCATATAGCTGCATGAATTTTCTTACATTCTACTGTTTTAAGCTATGTAGAATGATGAGATGTGATCTTCCTAATCATGTCTTGTGGGGTTATTGTCTGGTCTATTAAAATGTATCGTTTTATCCGCATAGCGTATGTAATAAATTTCATGCGTGACATTTTCTAGGATAACTTTGTGGTTTATATTTAAAACTAGCGATCCGACCCAGCTATGCACGGGTGCAATGTAGATACTACTACTACTAATGTGGTGCCAGTGTGGAGTACATTTTAAATCTCTGACATCTACTAAGGTGTTTTCTTTACAGAAATGCTATAAAAACTTCTAACTTGTAACCATACAATTAGCAATTCGCGATATTTTTACAACTTCTTTCAGAATCTATCAGAAAATACTTTTAGAAATAACTAAGTATAACCTTCTTGAACATTAAAAATGAGCACTTAAAATCGGACGAAGGAATCCACAAATTGAAATGTTTGTGTTGTTCACTTCATATCTTTTAATATTCGGAGAATATTTGCCAGCGTAAATCTTTGAAATTCTCTAATTTTTTAAACATAACAAGCATGTTTCATGAAGCGTAAACTTTAGCCATTGTTACGTTTGGTACTGATATTATGTACAAAAAGGTACAAAAAACAAACCTGTTTAAACTTCACAATCAGGAAATAAGCCTCGTCGAGTTATAACTACTTTTTTATGGAATAGGGGTAAACGAGCAGACGGGTCACCTGATGGAAAGCGGCGGAAGTCGCCTGCAACGCCCATAAACGCCTGCAACTCAGGAGTCACAAGCGCTTTGCTAGCTTTTCAGGACTTACTCAGGACCTACAGCACAAATAAAGGAATAATTCCCAAAAATAAAAAAGTTGAAAATTAAGATTTATTTATTTATAAAAAAAATTGATAAATGTTGGTACTTACAAATTTTCGTGAAAATCTCCGTAAAATCTGGGTAGGTACGGAACCCTTAGCACACGAGTTCGACTCGAACCTGACCGGTTTTTTAATATATTATTATTACTTAAATTAAATTTATTAACGTTAGTAAATTATTTGTATTGGATTTACACCCAATAATATTTGTGTATATATTGTGTATTTTTTTTTATATAATATATATAATACGTTATACGTTTAATAATACGTTTTACGTGTGGAAACCTCCTCTTAGGAACATCCTCTGGCCTTCTTGGTCTTACTAATATACATGCTTCTTTTCTAATCCATTGAAAACATGAACCGGTATCGATTTACGAGCTCTTATAAGGATAAGATTATTTACATGTTCAGATAAATATAAAATTATACCTGCATGACAGTAAAATTATTAATTTACGACAGTTTAAATATATCTGTGAATGTCAATACTTACCAGCCAGTAAATAGACCCACATTATGTAGATGCCTCATCAATAACCCAGAGAATAGGAGTGGAGTGTTGTGTAATCGCCTGAGAGTTCGAACTAGAATAGTGAGTGTTGTACAATCCCCTTTTGGATTGAGCCAGGGGATTCAAGTGGCCACATAGGGCATCAGAGAGAACCTATTTTTAACAATGTGAATGTTTTTCTCTAATTTAAATTACTAATATTTAACTCATAACTCAGTTTATTGGTGCAGGTACATACATATGCGAGGTAGATAGAATAACACGGACAAATAAAACTTGTTTTCGTCTATACATATTTTACTTGCTCTTGCTTATGTTTTTATTTTAAGTAAAGTGGACATCAAACCAGTTTAAGGAGCGTAGTTCTTAGCACTATTAGTTATCGTTATCAAAATACTTTAGATCCGTTAAGAACTTTGATCAAAAATAGAAAATATTTGCATACCACGGGTTCATTTGAAATCTACCTACCTTCTAAGATTTTAATTCAAAAATTTCATCATAATCCTGGCAATAATTACAGATGAAATAGGAAAAGTGATAAAGCAGCGTCTAGCAAAAAGTAAAAACAATTACCAGCGTGGACTATACTATTTTGATGGCGATTGTTACGAGTCGGTTGCAGGGCAGACATTTCTTTCGTTAATTGTATATACCTACCATAAGTATTTTGCATATATTTTATTATACATTCGATATATTATAAAAAACGACTAAAATGAACACAATAGGTGGCAGGAACTTCCTTAATGTTAAAGAAGCAGGTGTGATAATCCAGCCTGAGTTAAATATAAAAATTAACCACATTTATAGCTTTTATTATAATTGTATTACTTTGGTGCATCTTGAGAAACTTGATAGTCAAACAGCCTTATGATTATTTATATTTATTACTTAATAAACTAATGTGTTGGCACTGTAGGTCTGTTAACAAAAGTTAATCTCAATTAATCAATTCATATTATTTTTTTTTATGTTTTTCTTTATGCCATTTTGAAAAGTTTATCAAACCCAAACCAAATCGGTAATCTCATTATAAACTTTAAGTTGAATTAGAAAAAGAAAGCTTACATTTTATCAGAAGTTTCAAATAAAAGTCACAACTAAAAATGTAATAATTTATAGACGATAAAGTAAAGCTTACAACATTAGGGCTCCAAATATTGGAAATTCGTTACTAGATTTATTAAATTTGTACTTAAATCTATTGAGTAGACCACTAGCCACCACAACTCCACCTCGACTAGGAAATGAATGATTCATTTGGGTTCGCACTGTATTAGGTCTGTTCACTTGTGTCCTACAATTCTTTATCTTTATTCTTATGCACTTATCACTTCTATATTTTGTGGGTTCAAAGAATGCATCTCTGTGAATGCTATTTCTAGACGGCATCGAGGCAGGTATTAGGCGAAGCTTGGCGCGTTTCAACACAGGCCTCAGAGGCATGTACAAGCATTCTTCATCTATCGTCTTCTCGGGGCTGGTGCTTCCTTGTATTACTGTTTCTGCAATATAAAAAAAAATCACACATATGTATGTAATCACATGATTGTGTCCCCCATATGCAAATAATCTTACTAACTAAGTGCCTCCATACGTGAGTATACATTTTTAGACAGGCGATGGGTATTAAAGAAATTTGTGGCAGTCATTGTTGTCATGTCGCACTTGAATGAGGCAGAAGATTGACCAAGTCAATAGGATGATGTTGTAGAGATACATTGAGATCTTATTAAGACGCATCTTCGCCAATAAATTTAACTTGAGTGAGCTTCAACGTTTGGTATTGTCAAATGTATTGGAATAAATTAAAGATACTTGTTACGATAGACTTTGTCAGACTATTCAAACCATCGATAATTTATTAATTTAAAACTTTTCTTAAAAATAATGATAATCCTAATTTTAAAGCAAATACAATGAGTCAACATTGCTATGGCTCATGGTAATTTTGGACTACCTAAAAAGAGGATTTCTAAGGCTAACACTTCGTCAAATGGTTCCCTCTGTTTCACTTAAACTAGAATCTTAAGTAACAAGCTTGCGGAAAGCCTTGGGGTGCAAAAAAATCATTTTGGACAGGTATGGAAAATTTTCCATACCTGTCCAAAATGATTTTTACAACTAGGTTCCCTTAAAAAAATGTTTTTTTCCATAATTTAATAAACAATCTTGCAAGTGTTATACCATCTTCGAATCCTTACTAAATGCGCCATTCTTGTATTGTATTGTGCGCCATTGTTCTTCAAATGTACTTTCTTTTTTAGTACAACAGGGTAAGTACAGTCATTTCAAAACCGGCAAAGTAAAAAGTTTTGAATACTTGGTCTGGAAAAAAAAATCATTTCTTTGTGGGCTGGAGCAGTTGGCTGTAAATTTTTTAAATAAGAGTTTTGAGAAGCATAATTTAGGATTACATAAACAAGGTATTTTTCAGTTAACTTTTATATTATCACCCGATTCCAACTTGACGTCGACTCTGGGTCACCTGTATATCGCACTTTTATCCTGTTTTAGACTTCAAAATATCCGATTAAATATAATATAATATAAATGTCGAACTAAACATTTTTATAGATTATTAAATGCACATACTATTATGTAGCTCAAATGTGGACTTGGATCTTTGAGTGTTTTTCAAAAAGATGTACATATTTGTAAATTAATTCTTTCATTATTTTAATTAACAGTTTTTATTTTATTATAAATTATGTTACTATAGTAAAAACGCCGTAAGCTTGGCCCTCCCGTACGTACGATCAACAAATTAGCCGGTGCGTCGCTGTCCGGCGGCAGTGACTGACGTGCAAGTCAGGTTACACGTTATTTTTCTTAAGAATCTGTCGACTCTGCGTCATAAAAAGATTAAGGAATATTCGGATTAATTATATATTTTTTATGAACGTTTCCTTTTGTTAACACGCTTTTATTAGCTTTTGGTATGTATCTATGTATGTAACGGAATCTTCGAACGTGATTTTGACGTAGGAAATAAATTTCTATAAGTTCAAACACATAAATAATTTTATCGTAAAAAAGCGTGGGGTGCCCGCATCCCGCCAACCATCGGGAGGGCCAAGCTTACGGCGGTTTGACTATAATAACAAAAATGTTTGTGTTTTTTCTTTTCGTGATATTAACATACAATAATAAAAAAAATAAGAATAAAATAAAAAACGAAGTCGAGGTCAAAGGACAGTTGATGACCTAATAAGTGATGTAAACGTACGTAACTTACCTCTATAAGGAAACAAGGTTCGCCGAGGGCTGACGGAGTCTCCTAGAATCTCATACAGCGAGGAGTCGGTTACCACGAAATCTTCTAAGTAGGTCGTCGGTTCAGATCTCAGGAGGCACGTCGCCGCGTCCTGTTCGACAAAACGTATTTAAAAGGTAGCGAAGGTAGAGGGGAATCTTTCTTAAACGTCAAAGCGGTGCGTTCTGTAGGCAACCTGTGACATCACCCGCCTCTTGTACGCTTAGATCTTATAAACTACGCAACGGATTTGAATGTGGTTTTCATCAATAGACAGAGTTATCCAAGAGGAAGGTTTATATGTATAACACATGCATATTATAATAGAGAAAATCCGAGAACTGCAAAGATGTGTGATGTAAAAAACTTCTTTTTGTTCGCTAACATTGCAAACACTTAAATAAACACAAAAAAAATACGTTTTACATTTAATGTGGATCAAAATTGCAACAGGGCTAGACGAGCAGACGGGTCACTTGATGGAAGGTGACCATCACCGCCCATTAACGCCTGCAAGGCAACGCCTCAAGAGTCAGAAACGCGTCGCCAGCCTTTTAGGAAGGAGTAGGTACGCTCTTTTCGTAAAGGTTTGTCTTTTACAGCATATCATTAAAATTAACGTCTTAGAAGATACCAGAGGTTTAAAATACGAGGGTGGAGCGGTCGTCGGGCCGTACGTCCGTGCCGGGTCATCTGTTATGTCTTTAAAAAAATGTAAAGATACATTTAACCTTTGCGAAGTCGGGGCTAGTCGCAGGCACAGAACAAATTATCGCGATCACATTATAATATGTACTGGGTGAGAATCGAACCCACGACCTACGGCTTAGCGGTCAGGGTCACTAACCGCTAGACGGACAGAATCGTCAAAACGAATCACATCTTACGGTGGGTTTTACAAGCGAAATATATCGAAAATACATATAGAGGGTAGGGTCTACGCTCTACTAGGTAGAGAAGGTACCAGCAGCGCGCCGCGCAGGTCGGGCACGACGGGCACGCGGTAGGTGAGCTGCGCGGCCACGTCGAGGTGGTGCAGGTGGTCGCCCAGGCACTGCACCAGCGCGCGCCGGCCCAGCGCGCACACGCAGTGGATCATGGGCGCCGTGAGCCGCTCGTGCGAGCCCTGCGCCAGGTAGTCGAACAGGATGCCCTTGCCTGCGACACACCGCACCTTTAGCTTATCGCTCTTATGTCACCTATTCGATCCACTACGAAAATATCTTCGATCTATTCGAAGCGAACCCAGGACTCACGGGAGACGTTATGAAATCGTCCAAGAGACTCGACGAATCTTACCGTTATGAGGCGTGCGAACCTCAGCGAAGAGATAGTATGGAAAACTTGTAAGTGTACTCGTGTCGAGTACTTCCAAAAACGGTGAGCAGATTCACATCGACGGCCTTTAATAGTCCACCGCTGGACATAGGCTGGTGTCCTGCGTTGTTTTGCGCCCTTAGTCGGCTCTTACGACACCCACGGGATGCATTGGGGTAGTGACATTCCGTATTCTTAATCCGTCACTACACGGACAAAATGAATAGATTAAATGAATCAAAATAAAAGGAACGTTTGCAACTTTTCAACAGAGATCGGAATAAGTGTATACGACTGCACAGATAGCGTAGTGGTTTAAGCGGTCACCTACTGCCTACGCTTCCTACTGCGTATTGTGGTTTCGATCCCCACATGGAACAGCACTTTGTGTGTGTGGATCACACAGTTGTTCCAGTTGTGGTTCTGAGTCTGAGTGTTGCTTGTGTCCGTTTCATGTGTGTAAGTCCCTCGTGACACAGGATAATATCCTAGTACGAGAGCTGTATTTTAAAAGAAATATTAAAATAAGTAAGTAACACAGAGTTGATAGTACCTCCTCTAAAATCTCGTAATCATAAATATGACAATTGATTCCCGGGTTATAAGAATTAGCAAATTACTTAGGGCGCATTGAATATATTTGAACTAAATTATTTTATTGAAATTTACAAAAAAAAAACACATTAATAACAGGACAACTTTCAAGGATTAATTTTGTATGTAAAACATAGCTCTTTTTTAACAGTTTTAGTAAGGAACTCTAAAAACATAAGATACTTAAATACAATAATTTAGTTTAAATGTATTCAAAGCACCATAACTAAATTGCAAATCCTCATATCCCTGGATTTTACCGTCATATTTATTATTCCAGGAGTTTAGAGGTGGTATTATCGACTCTGTGTTACTTACTTACTCGAACTTTAGGTAAATTTAGTCTAACTATTCCGATCTCTGCTTTTCGATGAATATAGGTAAAGTACCTATAGCGATAAAAGACGGCCAGGTGCGTGTGATTTTCGTGAGAATAGCGACCATTTTATCGGACAGCGAGCCGTTGCCGAGTATGTTCGACACCATCACCGGAAACAATCTCTGGAACTGAAAACAGAAAATTGTGTTAAATCGGTGTAATTCGATAAAACAAAGGTTACTCTTTTATTATAATATCGATTAAATCATAGTTTATAAATAACGTATAGCTCAAATATATGCCTACTGCCTCGGTGGTGCAGTGGTAGCGTATGCAACTGCTTAGCTGAGGTCTCGCGTTTAATTCCCGAGTCAGACCAAAATGTTTGTGTGATCTGCAAATATTTTTTTCGGAGTTTGGGTGTTTTCTATTTATGCACAAAATTGTATTTACAAAAAAAAGAAAAAGTATTCTATCAGTCAATTTAACTTACAAAGTAAAAGCTCTGCTTAGTTTGAAACTAGATGGCGTAATATTATTATTATATAATAAAAAAGTACTCACCTGCTGCTGAATATTAGTATCTAAACTACAAGGATTAGAACAGAGAGCGTCGACCATATCCAGCACGTTGGACTGCAAAGGTTTCTTAGCAGGCACGTTGAGAGCGTTTAAATTGTCGTCGTTGAGCACCAACACGGCTAAGTTGAAGAGATTCGGAAATATCGGCCCAATGCGAGTGTTCGTTGTTAAGTCTTCTACGGCAATCACCTTTGGCTTCTTTCTAAGACTAAGTATTGCTGAAACAAATACGAACTTTGATGCAATATTGACCCTAAACAAATGCTTCACAAAAACAAAATCTGTGCAAAACGACTGCCTCTGTGCATCCAAACAAAATTGTTTCTGTAGACTAAATGATATTTATTTCTGCAAATGAATCTTTTTCGAATTTTCAGCTAGATGGAGCCGGCATTTCCTAAGACTATGACACTTATTATTTATTTATTTATAACTTTATGCACATTTGTACATCGGCGGACTTAATGCCCAAGGCAACTCCCAATTCTCTCCCAGTCAACCTTTAGGTAGTGTATATGTTTATTATAAATGAGAAAGCAAAACTTAAAACTAAACCCAAACATAAAGCTTCTATACTAATGTCTAAAATAAAATTTCGAATATTATTCACTACACAAGAACATATCTGTTTGTGGTGTTTGCCATACTACACATCAATACTTGTAAAGTTTCAAACAAACAGCACTCACCTCTAGCCACTCTTGTGTAATAATTCTGTAGGTGAACACTGATGTTACTGGCATTGTTCAAACTCTTATCATCCGTGATCCAGTCAACTGATACAGTTGGCACCGAAGAATACACGTGACTGTATATGGTTGTAGAAAACTCAGTAACATTGATTAGGTTGTCCTGCAACAGACTGATTCAATAACACACAAACATATTTACGTTAACAGCGAACATACAATATTTGTAACACCTACCGTCTTATCAGCTCCGTTATAGTAAGTATTGAACTACAGGGACTATATATATAAGTTTTTATCCCAAACTTTTATATCATATATGTACATACAAGGACATGAAGTGTATTGTCTGGTTTATTATAGGGATGACTAATTACATGCATGCACGAAAAGTATAAAGTACTATGTGGTGCTACTGTTTGACAAGGTTTGGAAAAATTGTATCAGTGACTGCCATACCATCAACAGCCTATAATAATCCACTGCTAGACATAGGTCTCTCCTTATTACCAGACGGAAAATTGTACCCTTAGGAGACGAGCCGTGCCCATAAACTCCCATGAAGGAGTAGGTAGTAGTTTGAGTATTTAAAAAAAAAAAACTTACAAGAGGAACACACAGCTTTTCTTCACTGAGTGTGGCATATTGTGTCGAACAAGCTCCAACAACTGGACTTGTGTCTGCTAACGTTAAAACGGAATTGACATCCCAGCCATCCACGCATGATTTCTTCATCATCTCACTCTGAAGGGAAAGTGTCTGGAAATTGGCGACAAAAATATTAACGCCAAGGTTTACACACAAGGGTAAATGTAAATAACGGCAAAACTGGTTTACACTCTAAAGGATTGACAACTTTTCATGTTTTTTTTTACTTTAAAAATCTTGACAACTTCTGGAGCAGGATCCATACCTGTGTTATACGAGACTACAACTTTTCAAATAAAGGACACGAAGGATGCCCAGAGTCGATACAACTATTTGCATGCTTGACAAACCAAATTCATTTTGTAAGTATTATTTTCTATAAATATAACACTATTGACTTCATTTCGTCTAAATCATGACTGTAAAAACTACTGCTATTTTACAATTTTGGATTAAAATCTAGTTTAATGTGAACTTACACTAATAATCTGTCTAAGTTTATAGCTGACATCTTCAGCGAGGTTGGTACATGCCTCTGCATTGATCTCTGCTCCGCATTGTTCTGCCATACATTGTACAGACTCTGCGCCAATACCTGCAAACTTGCCTTGTGATGAACTACCATCCTGTAAATAAATATAAAAAAATAAATAAACAAATACGTTAACGAAATGCGAAGGCTGAGATGGATGTGTGGGGTGACTCGGATGGACAAGGTTAGGGATGAGTATATACGAGGGAGTCTGAAAGTAGCGTCTGAAAATGTGGTGAAGAAAGTGTTAGGAATGGGAGTTAAGGGTTGCAAGAGAAGAGGAAGACCAAGAAAAAGGTGGATGGACTGTGAGTGAGGATATGGCTAGGAAGGGAGTAAACAGTGAGAATGGAATGATGATGATGAATGGAAGAATCATACTTACTGCGCCGACCCCAAATAAAATTGGGATAAGGGTAGGCAGATGATGATGAAGAAAACAAATGCAAAGTATAGAGTACATACTTTACAAATATATTTTTTTATGGCATAGGGCGACAAACGAGCAGACCCACTTGTGAAGAGGAAATGACTTCTCTCACAGCAACTAATTAATTACTTATATAAGTTTTAATAAAATTAATTATTATTTCCATTGGGTACCCAAGAATAAGGCTTCGTTTTCCCGAGAAAACAAAGATCCCGAACTGCGAAGCCGAACATCTCTTGATCGACGAAATGCAGTCGCATAACCTAGTGCAGTATAACTGCTTCACCATAAGTATGATAGAATCTATTACCTCGTATTATCAAATGATGCCATAACCGTGTCACAGTATGAAGATCCATTAGTGCATGTGGACCTGAATCATGGTGCACTTATTGTGTCGAAACTATTGCAATCCAAACCCTTAAATCACAGTCATACACTAAATACCTATATGACAAGGGTGGTATTATTGCATCCTCAAAAAGATTGTTAAAATATATTGGCATAATGACTTAGGAAACGGTCAATCAAAGAAGCTACTGACTATTGACGACCGAATGGCGTAGTGGTTTGTGTAACGGACTGCTATTCCGAAGGTCGCGGGTTCGATTCCCGCTCAAGTCAAACATTTGTGTGCATGAACATTTTATGTTTGATTTGGTCTGGGTGTTTCTATGTATAATAAGTATGTATTTACAAAAAAAAAGTATATATGTATTTGTATCAGTTGTCTAGTACCCATAGTACAAGCTCTGCTTAGTTTGGGACTAAATGGTGTTGTGTGAATGTTAATGTTGAGAGATATTTTACAACATTATTTATTTATTCCTAACGTGCTTAGTAAGTTTAATAAGAAAAAAATTCGCACAACCTGGTCAACAGTGATAAGTACCGAAAAATATAATATCTATCTAAGTATAGAGTATTTAAAAATGGATCAGACTTGGATAAGTTTTAATTGTTAAGTGAATGGGGTAAATATTTAGAAAAAACCTGTTTTGAATTCTATTTCTCAGCAACAGAAGATTCGATTACTAGCAAATCCAATTCTTTTCCCCGCATATATCCAGGTTTCTTGTTTGGATTTGCCAAAGGCGTTGCATTGCCCATAGCTCTCCTATTTCATAAGTCCTTTGTGGAATGCATGGTTTCACAAGTATGGAAATCAGGTTACATTACTCCTATTTACAAGAAAGATCCTAGAACAAAAATCACTAACTACAGGCCAATGTACAAGCTCTGCGTAATATCGAAAGTACAGTATAGGGAAAATGGCCTTAAGACAACTTGGATGAGAGTAGACAGCGGCAGACAGAGAACAATTGGGAAAGTTGGAGGAGGTCTTTGCTGACTGAAACTGAATTAAGAGATATTTTATATATTTAGTTTATAAAATGTTTTACTTTCTCATTTAACTCTTTTTTTTATTTTACCAGGAGAATATAAGTATCAGGTATAATATAAGTAGCAGGTATATCAGTAGGAGAGTATAAGTATCAGGATATGGCTTTATTAGAATTATGGGTAACGGTATGGTAAGATGGATGTAATCTACACAGTTTACAGCAAAGCATTCTATCGCATTGATCAGAATATACTTATGCAGAAGTTGCAGAACATAGGGTTACGAGGGGACCTTCACAGATGGTTTTCACCGGTCTATGGCCACTCTACCCCCTGTTATTACCGCGACTTGTCTAATGTCATCCTCCCACCTTCTCTGTGGTCTACCTCTCTTTCTTTTTCCATCCTTTGGGTACCATTGTGTTATTTTACTCCACTTATCCCTTCCTATGATCATGTGTCCCACCCATTTACACTTTTGTCTCCTTATTTTCAAAGTTATGTCTTGGACCTTAGTCTTCCTTCTGATGCTGCTATTCCTTACCTTATCTTTTCTTTTGATTCCCGTCATACTCCTTTCCATGGCATGTTGGCAAATGGAGAGTTTGTTTGCCCAGTGATATACCCAGTGGCATTCCTCAGGGTTCTCTGATTACTCTCTCCTCTTTGTAATATTTGTTAATGATATTGATAAATGTTTCAAACATTCTATGTTTGCATCATCATGCGGATGATATAAATGTTGCTAGTTGAAGTTGCTACTATAGAATGGGATGTTAATGTGGAGAAACTTCAGTCTGATCTGATGTGACTAGCTAATTATTGCCACGTAACAAGCTAGACTTGAACCCTTTCAAATACTGGTAATGTAAATGGTAACTTTCACCCAAAAAAAACAGATTATATGCTGTTTCTAACAAATAACAGGTCAAGTTCTTCCCATAAAATAACGTGTATGAGGTTTAGGCGACACTTACGACACTAAACTTTTATTCATTAAGCATATTAATGATATGTTCTTTTGCAAACAATTTGAATTGAATGAATTTTGAATGAATTTTGACTAAACTTTTATTATGAGAATTGGCTTTCTAAACTGTTAAATAAACTAAATTTCAATTCAAATTCACCAAAGTTGTAAGATATATGAAACCCTCACATGTCCCTCAATGTTCCACCAATTATAGACAGAATGTTTTCCCTCCGTAAACAAGCCATGCCTTTAATGCAGGCACAAAAGAATATAAATACAATTATTTACCAAAAACGGCACTCTAGCATGATACAAACTCATAACATAGTATAAAACGAAGTCGCTTTTTCATTCTTGTATGCTCAGATTTTTTAAACTACGCAATGTATTTTTTTGCTGTTTATATGTTTAATATATACTATATATATATATATATGTACTTAATCGGAGAATTTGATTAATTTGTGTCTGGAAGAAATCTGAGGGGGGTCTGGTCACTAGTAAATTATAAATTCTTTAGCCCAAATTCAATTTTTTCGTCTTGATGCATTTTTTATTTAATACCTTTGTTCTGTTATAAAAAGCAGCGATAAATGTATTTCAAGTGGGTAACATGTGTCACAAGCCAAATTGTTATAAATGGATAAGAATTATAGCAGGCTTTAAGCTACTCAAAATTTATATTCATTACTATGTATTGAACTAAATGTCTAATCTGAATCCTCTATGTTAAGCAAATTTGGATACCAAAGGATGTCCACAGTATGTGCTTACATCCTGACAGGTTTGAAATTGTGCCTAGAAGCCTGCTAACACCTCAAAAAGCCCTTCTATGTTTGTGGTAGCCAGATGCTCCTGCCAGCCTGGCTCAACTAGACAACCGTATCTGAACACATAGTGGACCACCTATGAGTCTAAATGCGGTAACAGAGCCCTTTAACATGTCGATTAAAGAAATACATTTTATGTGTAAAAAACAAGTATTAAATTTTTATCATCATTTTGGCCACATAAAGGCCACCCTGAACACAGACCTTTGTCAAAGAGTGAATCATTAAAAAGAATAGCTAAACCTTTAAATATCACACACTAAATATTAAAAGTATAATGAAAAGGTAGTATTAAATCACTGCAAATTAAAATCTTACCACAACCAAAAATCCCAAAATTTAATATTATTGACAAATTGACTGAATTGACATTGAACTTTTTCTACACTGTTCCGTATCAGATGGTTTATTTGGTGTTACTTTTTAACATTTTACCTCCATACAAAGACTTTAGTGTAAGTAAAAGTATAACCTCGTAGAATCCTCTAAATAATAAATTTACCTTCTCCGTTAGCGGGGGAGTATCACATTGACTAGAACCACCAGATTCTGATGCAACAGACTTATTACGATCACGTTCTCTGCTACTATTCACTTTTTTTGTGTGACTTTTGTTACTCGAAAGAGAGTTAGACATTTTTATTATCTCTTTATGTCTATAGCATTGTGTTGTTTTCTGTAAATTGCAATGTTAATTCACGGATTTGTCTTCTCTTCACAATTTTATTTAACAATCAATCACATATAAACGCGCGAACAAAATATATAAATAACCGTAACAATACAGAGACTCGTACTGTACAATCCAAACGGCGTTATTTACCAGGACATGACATTGACATATCCAGCTAGCTAGTATGACAAGTCTAGTCAAGAATATGTACCTACACGATTCACACTAAACTTGATTTAGTGTACATTAATAAAATATACTAATTTTACAATAAAAATTAAATTCGAGTTGCTATAAAATAAAAGTTGATTTCAACATGTCATCATGTTGAGTTTGAGTTTAACAGTTCACACACATTTCGTTGTCTGTCCATCTCCAAACTAATTTTAGCTTTACAGTAGCTCTACAAAAGTCGTTGGACAGTTTGTTTTCCGGACACATGTCATTAGCGAATATCCATGCAATAAAAAGCCATGAATCGAAAGTTGAAGTTTATTAGTCATGAATTTAATTGAAAGCTGGACTGGCCTGTTGATGAAATGGGTAATAACCCTGACTGCTAAGTCGATAGTCGTGGGTTTGATTCCCACCCAGGACAAATAATTGGATGATTAGAACGATCAGTTAATTTTGTCCTGTGTCTGGGTGTCATTTATTTATAATATGAATATATTTATAAATATTTAAGATTGCTTATCATCAGTCAAGTTACCATAGCACGGGCTCTGCCTAATTTGCATCAGTCTTCCGTGTGTGAAAAAGCTGCTGTCCTGGGTCCCGCATCGGATCGGATATACAGGTGATCCGAGAGCGTCTCAACCTCTTCCAGGACACGCTAGTTCCTTACTCGTGCGTCGAGGGCAGAGGTAGCGCCATAGTTCCAACGACTGCCACATCGCCGTCCCGGTCACCCAATCAGTTTGAACGAGGAGGAACATAATAGAGCTTCTCGGCTACGGCCACCCTGATCGACGACTGCGCAATGGTTTGCAGGAAGAGGTCCTGCGCGCCGGCACAGTGGTTCAGATTCGTCTGGACAAGGAGTTTGGAGACTTAGTCCGTGACTGGGCCGTCGTCGCCCATGGAGGAGGTGGTAGAAACGTCTACCACCTCCTCCATGGGCGACGACGGCGAATCACGAACGACGTCGGAGGCAGCTTGGGTCGACTGGCTAGCCCCCGGCGGTTGCCGAGAATTGCGGGGAGGTTTCCAGCCTCCCTGTCCTATCTGGTGATTGGCGAAGTTATTACCCGCCGTATACGCTGGGCAGTGAGGGGCGGCACAGCAGTCTGCCGCCCCTCACTGCACGAAAATCTCGAATAAGTTTATGGGGCATCATACTGTTTTAACTGTGTACCTTATTTTGTAACAATAAATAAATAAAATAAAGTACCTTCATCACAAATATACCATGTGTGATTGATTAGGGTATTTCTGATTTAATTTTACCTATTGCGTGAAGTGTCACATACAATGAGTGGTGAGTAGGTCGGGATGTGCGCGAGTGTAGCAAACACTCGTGCACCCGACTTACTCGCCAAGAATTATTTTTAAGGTTGCTGGTCTGGTTAGTCGGTTTTGCAATTCGGATATGTTTTCATACTCAGTGAAATTGGGTACACTTTAGGTAAATAAAACTCGAAGTTCATATTTAAATTGTCAGTCTAAAAATCGATAACATGATAGTTTTTTTTTTAAAGTATGTAGTTAAAAAAATTAAATGCCAAAATCATAACATCCACTTCTTCCACAGTTATTTAAACTTCTTATGACACAAATTATAGATTGCCAATTATTTTAAGAATCAACGATTAGGGACGTGGGGGACATCTCATGCATTTAAACTAGAAACTTTGTAAAACTTGATCGTAACTTTTTAAATTATTTGATAATGGTAATCACGTCTAGTCGAATATGATATGTGTATTGTGTGTAACAACAAATTCAAAAATACAAAAAACATTTTAATTCTTTGTTTTTATTTATATTTTCATAAGTAAAAAGAGCATGTGGACATAATTACGTAGGTAACGTATATTTATTATATTAAACATAATGATCCAAAATAAATTAGCAATGCAGTTTGCTGAAGGCACAATTCCAGGTTTTGCGAGTTAAAAACCACAACAACCATATTTATGATATATACTACTTGTCTATTTATATACAAATACTTTATATCTTTGATAAACTTTTGTTTATCATTCCATCATTCTTATATTTACAATATGCATTGTCTCAGAATCTTCCTGTACAGAGATTATTGCAAGTTTACGATAATAACTAAATTTAAATGAATGATATTATTACCAATAATTGCGTACTTACATCTATGTTTTACAAATATTGGTATAAAATAAGAAAAAATATGAGGCACGTTACGATTATTCTCTCAGTACGCCAACAATACATAACAATTAAGTTCATTTTACTTAAATCTTATAAATTAAATAAATCTGACATAAAAATATTATACTTTAATGTACTATTTCTTATATTTTAAAACATGGCAAGTCAACACTAGGCGGGAGACACACTTGTCCGAGTAGGCGCAAGTCTTTAGAGCCAAGGTAGGACTTCACTCAGCTAAAGCATTTGGACTGTAACAACCCACGGTAGTATTATATATATTAGTATATTCTAACCAGAGGCCTTCCAGAGAAAGTACTTTTTTGGACTAAATGCAATAAGATATTATTATTATATTTGAAAAGATACAAAAAACTTGGTTTTTATTAAAAAAAAAACAAACTGGATGACAGACATCACCTGCTTGAGAAACAGAATCAAAGTACAATAGAAAAGTGGGTAAACAATAAAAAAATAAAATAATCTGATTGAGTTAAGTTACTCATCTTTATATATTTTTTGCAACTTGCAGCAGAGATAAACGAATTGTAAAGATTCAGTTAAAAAATCTTTTACAGCTTGCAAAAACATTATTTTAGACTAGTGGCGAACGAAGACAAGTATTCTGAAGAGCGAAAGATATACAAAAAAGACAGCTCGCCTTTAACTCTGATTCTGAGTGAGGTTCAACCTTTGGGCCCTTAAAAGAAATATGTACACTCCCTGGCCTAAGAATAATAGAGAAAGAGTGATGACGTCACTTGCCAAGTTTACGAGTAATCTGTTCGGAGCGCGTAAAGTAACGTATAGAGAGTAAGAAACCAAAACCCGAATAAAGAAGGAAGTCGTGTGGTCAGTCCGAATCGCTGCCCGATTCGGACAGGCAGAGATCATCGTTGAGTACATCGCTCGGTAGCGCGGGGTTGGGGGGCGCAGCGCCTGCAAGTTTACCAAAATATTATTATCAACTTTGTCCTTATCCATTTTTATATTTCTGTGGTAATACTTAAATCAGTATCATCGTCGATCGTACGTAAAACACAAAGAGTAGATGGACAATATAATTCAGGGGGGAAGATCAACTGACCATTAGGTATGGATCGGTGAGCGGTAGAGTCGTTGTCGTCGCTATCGCTACCGCTGTCGGAGTCGCTGCCGCTCTCGCTGGAAGAACTCGACGAGCTGTCTTCTTGCTGCGGTGGTTGCTATAACGAGTTAACGATCAATTTAGACTAAGTTCATATCGAGCGAAAAATATATTTAAAAAGTATTTAAAGATTTTTGAGAGATACAATAAGTGCGTTCAGGTAAGTCACTCTTCGCTATCATCAACCGTAACGTTCACTTCGATCGCACACAACTTATTTTATAACTCTCTCTAATTTGCATGTGTTCACTACAATACGGTGCTCGGGGACCCTGTCGTTTTGGAAAACGTGTACTGTGTGTGTGTCACCTGTTGATGGTGCTGCGGCACGTAAGGGTTGTGATGTCCCCTGTCGAGCGGCGCGGGCGGGGCGAGAGGGGCGAGAGGGGCGAGCAGCGGGGCGAGAGGCGCGAGGGGCGCGGGCGCGGGCGGCGCGGCGCGCTCGGGGTAGGCGGGGCGCGCGTAGCCGTTGTGCGCGGGCGCAGCGGGCGGCGCGGCCGGGGCGTGCTGCGCGTGATGCGCGAGCGGCGCCGCCGCGGTGGCCGCGGACAGCCCTCCCAGAGCGTCGTCCAGCCCGATCATGGGCAGCGAAGCCAGAGTACTGTTACCGCCTCCTGACCACCTGTAAGTGATGTACGCTTTGCAGTCTGACCTTCTCCATATCGAAATAAAATTAAAACAAATTATCATTCATTTTCGTCGAAATCGCATGTTTCGATTCTTCGCGTGGCGGCGAACCGAGAAAAAACTTCGATCGAGTTCGAAGAGAAAAGCTCGAAAAGCTTTTCTCTTCTTTGATTCGCTGTGAACGTTCGTAGTGAAAAGTAAAAAGCAAACTTACGGAGCCGCCTGTGGCGGCGAAGTCTTCTGTCTCGGCGGAGAGCGCACCATGTTGCTGGGCTTGGGTGGATTAGCGTTACCGTTGAACCTGGCCTGCGGGTTGGGTTGAGTCGCGCCCGGCGCTCCTAAAACACGTATATATTTTTAATTTTCTTTTGTTTCCTTTTCCGAGCCCTTTTTCCTATATTAATTTGAGGTAGTTTGAGGTATAAGGCAGAGCTTTAATTTTTTAACGGCAAGCGACTGTCATCAGACCTCCACAACCCTAGTACTAGGTGATATCGAAGTTCTGTAGAAACACTGTTGTCGGAGGTTTTAAATAATATAATATGTAACACTACAGCTTAAACACGCACCGTTACGAATATTACATTCATCTTAGTGTTAACAACAGTGTTTCTTAATGTGATCGTTTTTCTAGCCCTCGAAAAGTTGAGACGCTCGACTGGCCCGTATACGTAGCCGACGTCGTATCGTCGAGTAGGTACTATACATTTTCGATTCTGACACTCGTGCGTTCTAATACATACACCAGTTCTTTAATCTCAATCCCAAGTCTGCTTGCATCACTTACCATGAGCGATTAAGATGTGACGCCTGTAAGTGAGTAATTGAACAATAAAGGGGAAGTAACCTGTGGGGTTGGTGGTGCGCCTGGTGGTGGCCACGCGCGTGCGCGACGTGGAGCGCTGCGTGGTGTTGGTGAACTCGCTCGTCACCGGCGTCAGCGGTCGCGGCTTTTGGCTTGTTTCTTGCCTGCACAATTACATTTATATGGTTCATCGTTTTGTGACTATCATCAGTCTAGCCTAGTTACTCGGCCTACCTTAGCACTCGTCATCGACTTCAGTGATACATTTATTTCAACATAAAAAAAATTGACAGAAAGCTTGTCCACTAGATTCACTCCGTGGGTGTCGTAAGAGCAGACTAAGGGAGCAAACTACGGAAAAAATAAAGAAAAACTTGACATAAACCCTATACCAACTCGTCTGGTCAGCGTGATATAGTAGGCCAAAACCTCATTTCTAAGGAGAGGTCTATGTCCAGCAGTGGACTATTAAGGGCTGTTGATGGGTGTGAACGCAAACGGAACGAACCTTAATTTTTGTATACCTACATTATAATTTCAAATGTAATTTTTTTTACTGTGATGAATGTGTCGAAGACGGGGTGGGGCAATTAGCTAGTTGTCTGTTGTTCAGTCTATTAGATATTTAGACCACAGTGTTCCTAAAAGAGCGTTAAAAGTTGCATTCACAACTTTTAGGACTTCGGAAAATTATATGAACCGTCTAATACTGCAACCAGCATCTCTCTCGTATTAATTAATAATACGACATATTTATTATTAATAAATATGTCGTATTAATAAATTATTACATGGAAAAAAGAATTTAACACTAGACTTGATATAATTTCAATACATGTTCGTTATTAAATCATCAATCATTTTTAATCGTTAAACGTTGTTAAATTCGTTGTGATATTCGGTTATCACTGATAATGTAGCTTCCCCTTGGTGAAAGAATTTTTGAAATTGGTTTAGAAGTGAAACCGTAACAAACTTATTTTGACATTTATAATAGTTATTTAGTAGTGAAGTATGGATACACTATACCATACTATACTCGATACTACACTTGACCAAATGAGTGCAAGAAACATTACACGATTGATCACGATGTGCCATATCTAGTTTCATCACCACGGAAATATTTTGGTTGCAAATTGTTTAAGTGAGTCATGGTGTTTTTATAATGACCATGTACCTACTTTTTAATAAACACTGTTAGTATCAAGTACTTTCACTCAGTGAGCACTCAAGTGGTGTTAATGGAGCACTTCCGAATTCTAAAGAACGCCGAACTTGTGAATTATCTGCGTCCCTTTTATTTGCAATATTTTATTTGCTTTGTTTATTTATTTTATCTATTAATCTAAAGGTTATAAAATATCAAAGTGTGGCTTAAACGTTATTCAGTTAATTGTGTACCTACTCATTGTATTCAATATTTCAATAACGTATACTCTAAAGTTTATTTTACTTTTTTTTTAAATTGATTCATAAAGTATCGTAGGCTTAGTTGAAATCTATCTAGGGAAAAGAAATTCATCACCATCAACAGCCTTTAGTAGTTCACTGCTAAACATAGGCCTCTCCATAGAAACGAGGTTTTGGCTTACTATACAACGCTGGCCAGACTACCAGCAGGTATAGGGTTTGTTTCAAGTTTTCCTTCTCTTTGTAGTGCTGTTGTCCTGCGTAGTTTGCTCCCTTACTCGGCTTTTACGACACCCACTGGATTAATAGCATGGTGACACTGCATATTCTTAATCCATCACACACGACCAATGTTTGTTTCAAAAGTGCTTCCGTTATTAGATATTCGAGTTTGGAGTATAGCTTCACAGTAGGTAAAGTGGTGGGCGAAGAAACAAAGGGACCAGGTTAGGGCTGACTGGGTTCACTAAATAAACTACGACTTCATACATACGTGAAATAATAAGATTACTAAACTGCAATATATGTTAATGTGACATTACAAATTATTTTCATTATTTAACCATTTTATTTTAAAACGATGTTTAATTGCACTCAACTATAAATGGTTTATTTCATATAATGGCAATATTTTCTTTTACATTTGAAATAATGACGCGAACGTCTAAATGTGAAACCATGAATGGGCATTATCCATTGGACGTCACAACACAGTATACACTAACAACATCTTTACACAAGAAATACTATGATCTATAGCGACATTATAATGTCTTCGGTTGCTTACGTTGGGGTACACTAGGATTTTAGCATGAGATTTCAGTACCGTCTATTCCATAACACTTGAGTACTCACCTGGTTTTCTTAACTTGTATATTACTAGAGAGTTTCTCTAGTGTAATCTCGCCGGTAACTCTATCAATAATGAGTACACACTCTTTTGTGTAAGGCCTCTGGTTGCCTTTGAACACAGTCTGTGGGACGCCTGCGCCATCTGTCGGAATAAATGCAATTGAAATATACAAAAAAAAAAAAATTACAATATAAATATATAGATGATTTTTTGTTAATTAAAGATATCTTTCAATTAAAACTATTACAAGTATTTTGAAATTGAAGTAATGATTGAAGTAGTGAAGTAAAATAGTATTTTGAAATTGGAGTAGAAAATAACAGAGCTAGTTAGTGATAGATACAAATGAATATGATAAACAACCCTTACATTATAATTGTAAGCATCACTGAGGTCTCCAGAATGCGTAAGTTTGTGGCTTTTGGTATAATGGTGCATGAGAACAAAAATCTAGTTACATAGAAGTTACAAAAGCGGGGTTGCCTATTTTTTTAATCTTTATATTTAGAAAGCTATTGCAAACAAAAACCCAAACATAATAATTCAGGTGCAAGACTTACGCAATCACAGCGTTTTACAGAAGTAACGTAAGTAACTCAATGCAATAAATGACTGGCTGTTTATTTCGTTTGGTTTTGGTTTTAATACAGTGTAGACCAATTTAAAAAATATTAACAGCTTAAAATAGAATGTAGGGTGGGTCAAGATACGCATGAATTAAGAACTCTTTACCCACAAAACGGATAGTTATAACACCGAGATAAACTAGGTCATTACCGGTTTAGGACATTACTTCTACATTACTGAACAATTAATCATCATATCATCTTAGGTAGGTACTACGAAGCGCTCTTTAAACTTAGCTAAGCAGTTGCTGAGTTTTAGTTTCGTAAAGTCTGAAATAACAAATTTCTATTCGACAACTAGAACAAGATAGATGGGCAAAGCAAGATTTATAGAGGTATTTATCAAAACATCAGTAGAACACTATGCTCAGTACCAAGTATTTATTACAACCGCATGCCATATTTCGCATGTCGATCCGTGTAGTGACGGATTAAGAATACCGAATGTCACTACCCCAATTCATCCCGTGGGTGTCGTAAGAGGCGACTAAGGGTGCAAAACAACGCAGGACACCAGCACTGCAAAAAGAAGGAAAACTTGATACAAACCCTATACCAACCCGTCTGGCCAGCGTGGTATAGTAGGCCAAAACCTCCGTTCTAAGGAGAGGCCTATGTCCAGCAGTGGACTATTAAAGGCTGTATAAGGCATACTTAAAATTACATTAAAATGGATCCTATTTCACATTTAAAGTACTATTCCAATGCTCACGTATACCAGTTAATAGCTCAATATAATTAAATCGACATATACAAAAATACCAACATTTTGGCAGTGAAAAGCAAATATTACGGACAACAAATAAAGTTTATTAATCAGCGGCCCCTTATTCTTTTTTTTTCTATATTTTTAGTTATATGACTCACTACCAAATCATGATTAAATTAACAATTTAAATTAATTGTATGTTTTTTTCATAACATCTTTTGTATTTTGTCTAGAATAACTCACACTCTACAGAAGTTTTTTTTTATATCTTTGCTATCTACATCTAATAGAATCAACTTGTGAAGTGTACCAATAACCCATATACTTTTTCGGTGACAAATTGACTATAATGTAATAATCAATGCCTGCTTTCTGCTGATGTAATAGTTTATTACTTGTTAAAGTTCCTATTTTAAATAAATAAATAGTAAATAATTGTCTTTCCTATAAACCTCAAAGACCAGACCTCTTTAGAAGTTATTGAACCATTGTTTCTATATATATAGGTTATTTTGTTTTATCAGAAAGTAAAACTCAATCAAAAAAGCTTATAGTCACAAGTCATTTTATATATTTCAATAATACTCATGTCTGTTTTCATATTAATTTAGGAAGGGTATGAATAGTGTGTAAAATATGAAGATTACTTTACTATAGCGCATTCGCATTATGAAAATAGTGATGCAGCGATGAAGCCCATCCCCGATCAATCAAGGTCAAGCTTACGTATGATACAATAATTTCTTGGGTGCGGCTTGTACTATAAAATTATTCAAATGTGTTATAGTGTGATTAAATTTACACACACCTAAATGTGGCACTGTAACAGTCACTTGGTTGTTAGTTCCAACATCAACTGTTGCCATTTTGTTAACATCAACTGAAGCTGGTTTGAAGTCATCTGAAACATTAAAATAGAACATTACAACATAGTTCTATTATTTTGTGTAGTCTTCACCAGTGAACAAACACACTTAGGGACTTAAAGTACTAGTTAGGATTTGATATAATATTATAGTTATTTCTTATATTAGTGTACAATTAATAAGATCACAAATAAAAAAATTGTAACATCCCCAACAATAGCATTAACCCAATGCTTAACTGCAGCATCAGTTCAAGGTTACCATATCATGGAATACCACTAAAGCAACAGTTGTGTAAGTTAGTGAGATTCTTTTATCAACAAAAAAAAGACCTTATGATCTTCACAAATTACAACTAACAATTAAATCGCATCACAATGGGTCCATTTGTTTAGGAGCTATAATGCACAGACAGACATACAGGCAAATCAAACTTAAAATACTGGCTGGTACCCACAACTTTGTTTGCATGGAATATGAAAAGCGCTACTTTAGTGGGTTTGATTCCTATACCGGGCAAAATTTTAAAGGGTATTTCTGAGGGGGAAAATGGCCTAAGTTACTCCTTATATAGACAGCTACCTGGTAGTTTCAGTTTAGAAGATTACCCGGAACCTACAGACAGACAATAAATTTGTAAATTGGTTGGTATTGTGCAAAGAACCATGTGAACCTGAATAAAACCTATTATTATTATATTTTAATATTTATTTGTATAGATTAATTCCTCTTGCTGTATTAATAAAAAAATTAACAAAAAAGTTACAATTCCACTCAAAACTGTTGTTAACTGTTTTGAGTGTAATTGACAGATAAATATAATATATAAATATAAAAAAAGACTTACATTTTATGGTGTGGTACTGCGACACTTTGTTATTTGTAAAGCTTGCTCCCAGCTTGAGCTCTCTAACATCTTCATAATTTAGACTGTGTCTATCGGCCATTATGATCCACAGATTATGCCATATATATTCCTAGAAAAAAAAAACATTTTAGGTCATAAAACTTACATCTGATTAAACTCTATTATTGTTATGTCAATCTATGTTTTATACATAACTTCAACCCCATAAGTAATTTATTGAAATAAAAATATCATACAAAAGATTGTTTTAATTTTAGTAATAGTTTAGTTTAGTTATATGATTTGTGTTTTCTGGAAACTTTAATCATTACTGTTAATTCAAAATGTTGATCTATTCTATTCCTAGTGTAGCAATAAAAATTACAATTTAAAGAAAACCCAACAATTTCATACAACAGATTTAAAACCTTGAAACATGTCACTAGAACTTTCTCTTGTTTGGCAAGTTTATATTTAAAATTAATTTGTATTAACTTGTATAATTTGAAGAGCATGTAAAAACATTTAGGAATGTGCTTAAAAACAGGTTCCTAATGGGTGTGGCAAAGGTACTTATTATTATACAATTATATTAAAATTAAATTTTAAAAAATAACATTAAATTTTAAAACCTAGTTCTTTTGGGTTGATAACTCTAATTAGTTAAATCTATTTCCTTATAATATAATAGTAATTGAAGTAAATTTCAATGTAACTTAAGAATTATAATATTTTTAACAGTTTTATAAAGGTTTTGTTTTTGCTTGATGCAATTATAATTATTATATATAGTTACATTATACATATTATTATTAAATAGTTCATTACATTTCATACAGTTACATTCTATCATTCAATATTGTTACTTTAACCTTTATGGAAATACTATTATTTTAAGAAAATGTATATTTTTACATTAAATTAATATGGGATCAGGCACTTTAGTAGAAACAAATTAATTAATATTCACAGCAAAATGATAGTATCAATATTAGCATAAAATTTAGAGAATTCATGTAATTGAAATTTTTGTTTTTTATCAGAAAAGTGTGGTCTCTGTGGTCAGTCCTTAATTCATGTAGGTATGTAGCATGCCATAAATTAAAAATAACAAAAGTAAATACACCATACAGGTACCTATTATGCATACGTATCTCTACATTCACTAACACAGCTGACGAACTAGGTCTAATTTTTTCGCCACAGCACAAATAAATTTGCTTTTTAATATACATAAAAAATTGTCTATAACAAAGTAAAATACTACTTAAATGTCAAAAATAAAAAAAAAATTGCAACATAAACTTATAAAAGAAAGTTCAAATTGATAAAATATGGCAAACAATTGATCTCCTTACCTTCGATGTCTTCTCCACGAATGTTGTATAGAAATACTGCTATATATCGAAAATAAATGTCATCGTCAGTACGTTTTCAGGCGTACTAATTAGATAATAATTTCATGGAGAAGGGCTGGCTAAAGTAATAAAATAGTCCAATAAGTTCGACATGGACTATTCCTCCGACCTAGTTCCCATGACGTTTAATTTAGAGATGGCGTGTTATCACTAATACTACTCACTTAGTGTTGGACACACTAAAAGTTACTAAGTTACTATGTGGAAAACCACACATGGGTATAAAACCATTTTACTGCCGTGACATTTTGAAAGTTAAATTTAAATGACTAAGTGTTATATAACTCGTAAACATTTATAACTTTCAAGTTTATCGTATTTAACATTTCTTGAATATTGTTAATTAAAAGAAAATCATGTTTTTACATTTCTAAAAATTTAAAAAACAGTAAATGATTTATTTAATGTAGATGCCTAATTTTTACTTCGTAATTTTTGTGTATTTTAGTATAATTTGGTGCGAAAAAAAAAATGGAAAATCAGTTCATTCAACTGTTCAGTCAAAAGCAACTAAAAATATCTTCAAGGCTTACGAACTTGTCTTGTCAATAAAATTACAATTTTTATTGTTTATTCAGGTTTTACTATACTCAGTTTTTTGTCTATTTGTACCTAAAACACATGCACTTCGGCCATCACCACTTTCGAAACATTCATCACTTTTAGAAAAAGTTGACAAAATTATTCAAAACACCTTCAGCAAAGTTTTAAATGTGGCTTTAAACGAGCGAGCATCACTCCAAGCATCCTTGCCAGTTCATTTGGGTTTTCTAAGAGTAGGCAAAATTGTAGATGTTAGCCTTCCAGCAATTTTTCTTTTTGTAGAAGAAATCTAATAAACACACTGGTTGAATCGGAAGTGCCTTGCAAGGCCGATGCCATAGATTCTTGGCGAACTTGTCTCAATACTATATTAACTAGTTTAACAACCAAAAAGTAAAACTACTACTAAAAAGAGTATTTCTGCATGGATGAGGATATCAACTGTGACATGAGGTCTATCATGGAGCGCAAAATCGTGCAGATGCCATGTACCTACTATTCAACACGAGAAAACATGGCATGCGATTTTTTGAGCACACGAGATCGCGATAAAATCACAAGAATGCTCCAAGAGCAGTTAGATGTCAATAATGCCCTTAATTATAGACGAATGCTAACAACGCTGTGACGAATTATCTAAGGGGCGCCACCTTTATCAGTTACAGTCTATTCGCGAACGGTTGTCCAGGACATGGCTTGCGGTGAATCACTGTGTCGCTCAATTTCTTACAGGTCAAGAGCAAACCGTATTCATTAAAATTAGTCGAGTCGAGTGTATGTGAACATAATGGTCGGGTACAAGACGATAGGAAGAGACCAGATGGTGTATCGTTACTGCCATGGCACTTTTGGTGTGGGACAAAACACGCGACGTCACTCTCGAGCCATAACATCTTTCAAGCACAACTGGTTATGTCGGTGGTGCTGCTGCATTCGCAGAAAGCCTCAAACGTCGTGAATACAAGAACGTAGTAGGTAATTACATTTTTGAAACGTATTGGGTCAAGGGTCGTAAGGTCCCAGTGTTTCGTGATCGTTGTGTGTAGATATTATGATTTTATTTTATTACTAATTTTGTATTCATTTATAAAAGCCTATTTATAGTTATGTAATTTTAATGTAAAAAATATACAAAATTGTAAACAGCATGAAAGATGAAAATAAGAAATAAATTGATTATAGTATATTACTATATTAGTTCATGTACAATATATAATGAAATTAACAGTTATAAAAAAATCTTCTGCATGGGTCAAAAATTGCCGTCAGTATTGGTGCTGGTATTCAGCAAACCTCTAGTCTCTATAAATGAGATAAGAAATATAATATATTTAATTTGTTATTGTACGATGCGGTTCCATTTTGACAGATCTTCACAATTTAATAATATGGATTATTAACAAGTTATTAAGGTTTAGTTAGCCCTGTGCTACCTATTTTTCAACAGTCTAGTCTGGCAACTGGCAGCGCACGATAAATATTGATTGTCAATTGCCAACTGTCACCCAATGTTTTTGATTGTCGTTGTCAGGTTTCGTTTCGTGGTTGTCAAGTCAGATTCGATTTTTATATGCTTGTTGATTTCGTTGCTACAAAACTTGTTCATTAAATCTAGCAGAATGACGAAAAAATCAATATCTTTGGACGTAGATCCTACTATATTGGAAAGCAATATGAGAATTGTAAAAGTAACTACACGGATTGATTTACGTTACGACCACAATTTACATTATAAACGAATCGCTAATACTAAATGTCATCATTTTAATTTTTAGGATAATCCTGTTGAGGACGAATTTAATAAACTTTTGTCGGCGGTCGATCCTGTGCCTTCAAAACTTGTTAAACCAAAGCCAGGTATCAAGATGGAATTTTGACGCCCATGTACTTTGCAAATAAAACCTATTTCATGTACTAAGATCATTTTTTTTTATTGCAGGTTTTTGCGTGAAAACATTCACAAAGTCCGACAACAAGAAAGTATTTGTTAACATTTGTGTTACTGATGCTATTCCATGTCCTAGAGATATAACCAATGAAGAACTTATGCAAATTCTTAGCTCTGAGGACCCCTCTAGCTATCGGGTGCCGATGAGCATCGGAGAAGGTAGAACCGAGTCAGATAACTCTGGGGCTCCTGTCACAGTCTATGATGTTGCTGTAAACCCAGAATTCTTTAAAAAGATAGAGAAAGATGATTTGTTTCAAGTATTCTTTCTGACTGTTGTTTTTGAGGGATTGCAAGATAAATACCAATTTGAAATAGACATGCACAAGTACACCATTCTAAAGAATCGAAAATCTATTGGCACTCTGCAATCTCATAGAATACAAATTAGAGACATAAAGACTTGTGAGAGTCCGACTAAAGCACCCATGATTGAGGAGTTAGATGGTAAGTCTTCTGGACTTAACAACACTACACCAGTAGCAAAGAAAAAGGAACTGCAGTATAGGCTAAGGCGAGAACCACCAACTGGAGAAATTGAATACTTATTAGCTGAAATTAAAATACCTCCTAATGTAAGTGTTACTAGAAATTCTAATTTTTCCATTTTATGTACTTGATCGATTTTCAGTGTCCACCTGAAGAAGGCTTTTAAGAAGGTTGTTTTATGGCCTATCTAAGCATTTCCTTTATCTATTAGTTTAAACAGATAAAGGAAATGCTTGTGATAACAATCTGTTCACATCAGTAGTATGCTCGGTTGTAAGTTCATTTTTTGTTTCTTTTTTCTTTCCGCTTGAAAATAACCTACTGTTCTCAAAGGAAAGTTTTTAACAAGCATATGGTAGATGAATATAGATGAATCTGACTTAAAACAGTGATTTTAGTCCTCTTTAATGCATGATGTAATTATTTATCCCATAACAGCACTTTCCATTAATTTTGGCTTGAATTATAGGTGGAAATGAAAGATCTGAACCTAGAAGTAGGAGAAGACCGGCTAGTACTGGATTGCAAGGGGCTATATGAAGTTGTTGATTTCTTTTTACCATGTAGTGTTGACCAGGATGTTATTGATGCCCGCTTGAATAGAAATGATGATGTAAGTATCCATCTGCACTTTATTTATATTATATAATTTTAATGCAGAGTTTAACATTGTAATAAAGTAACACTCATAATACAAGATTGACCACATGTCTCCATACGAGATATGAAATCTGTGGCTCAGAGTTATGCAACGTGGTACGTTACTCTGGGCTCTCCTGTTAACTGCTGCTATGTGCAAACTGAGACTTTTTTAGATTTATTAGTGTGAGGATATTTAGTTTATCTATGGAAAAATTCCGGTATTGCTAGGGGTCCATCTCAAGCTATGTATTTTATTAGAAAGCAGAACAATTGTGGCAAAGAAAGATGAAAAGATTCTCAAAGCTACATACACATGTGTATAATGTATACATGATATGCATTATACATATAAAGATGTCAATGCGACATCTATACAAGCCTCTCTAAAAGGTTTACTCTTTGACTGGCTTGACTTCAATAAAAAAAAAATGTTAGCCTAAATACAGAGGTAAGTAATTGAATTAACATTGGAAAACACTAAAGAATGACAAGAGCACTTAAAGATTTTGTTAAAATAACTATATATAAAATAAAAGAAATATTATTATAATTTATTTAGGGGTATTCCTCCCCTAAATAAGTTATAATATATTCCTCCCCCAGTAATACTTACACCAATTGGTTACATTAAAACGAGCAGCGGTGAAGAAGCTTTCATTAAAATCTATTGTCTTTACAAATAACGACCTAACATTTGAAAAAGAGACAGGGACACGTGAGGCAAAAAACGGATATTGAGATTGATTATACTAAGAAAATCTAGGTATTCGTGTCAGTTATCTCTTCTTAACAATAACTTTTTAGTACTAAAGACAACATTCTACTTAAAAGTAACAGATAGGTAGGTATTACGTCAAGTAAGATCGCAAATTACGGTAGGGCAAGATTAAGGAGAACTAAGGGCTAAGTTCGCTGGACACGAGAAGCCTAAAATGGATTTAAGTGGCGTGCAATGCCTTTGTTCCGCAGTGGACTGCGATAGGCTAATGATGATGATATGACACGGCAGTTTACATTGGATTCTAATAAAAGCCCTGATTAAGAAGGTCTAAGGGCTCTCACGTAATTTTATAAAAGTCCTTCTATAGTACTTACGAAGACCTAAACCTCTAAATGGTCATTTTAGGGATTAGAATGGGATTGCGTGAGTAAGGGAAGATTGGCAAACCATGGAAAGGAAAGGTAGATAAGAAGGAAAGGCATATAAATTTACTAAAATGTATGAAATGACTGAGTAGTGCGACTCGAACAGATCAGTGTCGCATACCAATAACTTAAACTGACTGTTAACTAATTTGAACATTTCCTTGGTAATGCAAAACCTATAGGTTAGTGGTTAGTGCACCATATTCCTATTGACCTAAAATAATGATATTTGGGTTAAAATGTGGTCTCACATCACAGCGTCCCTCTCAAGGCATAAAGTAAAGGAAAAAATCCGTCTCCTGACAACTTGTATGTAGTTTCACGATCAATGATTGAGTAGTCTTCGTAGCATACTGGCAGACAGGGTAGTTAGAAAATTGGTTTGTGTGTAAGATAAGACCTGATTTACCGACTGGACCTGACTAATGAGGTCGAAGGTTCCGGAAGTTTTGAACAGCCAGACAACCAGGCGGTTGTCAAAGTTGTCGTTAATATAGTTTCATTAAGTACCTAAGTGAAATTATTGTGTTAAGACCAAAGTGAAGTGAGTAAGAACAAAATATAGTTGAATTGACTGAATCATGAACAGTGAACTACCACTACTGCATAAATGACAGTATACGTATCGGCTGTAAAAATACTTCAAAACGCCATGTTATCTCCCTGAATTGATATGTGATGTTATGCATAATAAACATTGTATAGAGCACACCAAGTGTTGTCCCGTGTGGGATCGAACCCGCAGCACTCAGTGCAGTAGGAAGCGGCAGGTGGCCCCTAAAACCGCTATGCCATCCGTGCGGTCAAAATATACCAAATAAATTACATAAAGTAACAAATAATTATTATAAACAAAGTATTTAGGCTTAAAATTGCAAAAAAAATCTTACCAGTAAAGAGAACCCCTTCACTGCTACACAAGTCACGACTACTCTCAGTAAGCGCCTTCACGGGACTGGCTGGCGTGCGAACTGCGAAGTGCCGACGCGCTTTCTGCATTGAAAGCTCGCTGCTAACTTCAGGTTGAATGCACAACAGCGCACAGGCCGCACAGTTCCCTTGCCACAGCAATGGTGACGTGGTTTTTAATATCATAATCATATTTAATGCATTGCAATAGAATCGCAATAGAATTAAAAAGCAAATCAATAAAAAAATCATCAATAAATGACTGAGAAATTAATTATCAAACTTTTACAGTACAACAAATGTGCATTTCACGTAGCCGAGTATGTCGCACCGCATTATCACTTAATTACACATTCCACTCTCCGTAGCTATTTTACGTACTGCTTGTTTTTATCATTAGTAGTGCTATTTTTAATTGTATTATAAGGCTTCGTAAAGGGACCAAGAGATAATTCACCTGAATTGATGTACATATGTATACCATAATGAACTCTTGTCCTCAAATCCATCTTATGTTAGTGCCTGAGTAAAAGTATCTACTTACACTAAACTAAACTACTTCCCTACACTAAAAGTGTAGGTATCTACCTACACTTTCTAATAAGTATCTTCTTACCTTCTTATTTGAGATTAAATGGGCCTGAGCTACTAGCTAGTTTACTTAATTGTAGATTTCTATAATCTCACTTTTACATATGTAATTATTTTAATGTGTGAAAGGACAATGAATATATTTTTTTTTACACTTTTAATAAACTAAGAACAAGGAATAGGGACAGCTTGAAATGATGATTTCTCTTTCACACAAGGTACACCAAGGTAGTAATGGGCATTAATGCTAATTAGATTTAATTTAATTAATTGCGAATTTATATGTCTTAGCATGTTCATTGCTAATGCTAATAATGCAATTTCATTCGAGGTAGGCAAATTAAAAAAGATCGTAACTTTTAATATAATAATATATATATCCTCGTATATATATAGGTTTTGTTTTTTAATTCATGTCAATACATATCAATAAAATCTATAAATCAAAAATATAAAACCACCTTATTTTACGTTTATATATTTTATATCTTCTGAATTGTATAGTTTTTTTTTTTTAAATCCGTTTTAACGTCTTTTCGTTTTTTTTTTCGTCTTAATTTCGAAATTTTATTCAAGAATTGTGTAACCACCTGTACCAATTCAATACCGGTATTATACTATAAAATTTAGAATGTTACCTAAATGTACTGCAGGGCCGCTTTTTTGTAGTCATCCGAACTCCGTCGGGTTATGTACGAATTGCGATGTTTGTCAGTATTTTAATTGTTGTTTCGTTCATTAGTGAGTGTAAAGAAATGAAATTTTACATGTGAATAGTTGAAGTAATGCACTCATCATCATCAACAGCCTTTAATAGTCCACTGCTAGACATAAGCCTCTCCTTAGAAAGGAGGTTTTGGCCTACTATACCACGCTGGCCAGACGGGTTGGTATAGGGTTTGTGTCAAGTTTTCCTTTTCTCTGCAGTGCTGTTGTTCTGCGTAGTTTTTTCCCTTAGTCGGCTCTTACGACACCCACGGGATGAATAGGGGTGGTGACACTCTGTATTCTTAATCCGTCACCACACGGACTGAATTAATGCACTGATTATTGTATAGGTTTTATTACGCATTTACTTTAGAATCTTGTGCAATAAGACTGCATATCAAACTGTGGTACAGTCATGGAAAATTATCCCATAGCCTATTAATTACTAAAAGTACATACCAAGGTGTGTCTCTTTCACACTCAATGACTTCAGTGCAGAGTATTGTACTGAACTTAGTTCGCAAGCGCATTTTCTAGCGCTCCGAACTTTACACTTTGGCCCCAAATTTTATGTTAAAGATAGTTAAATGTTTCTGGTAAAATGCTATAAAAACTGTTCCTACAAATAATTTATAAAAAATATATGTATAGTACCTTATTGCTATGGCTGTGCACTGCCCAGCGGCTTTGGGTCGGGCCGCCTCAGATAAAACGGCTGCGCTATTGTTCTGGCAAATTTCAAAAGAAGCCGCCTATTATTCTAAAGGCACCGCAATTTTTTTCCACCTCATTTCGCAAATCTAGAGAAATACTCTTCATGAATGCAAAGATAAGGATGACATTACTAAGTAAGTATTCGCATATATGTATTTGTGAACTTTCTCAGTTTGAGTGGATTGAGAAAATAATGTTCATGATGTAAATAAGAAAATAATATTATAAAAAAAGATACCTTGTATAACTGTTTTTTTTTTTGTCTTAACGGAGCTTACCCATAATGATGACCATGTCGCTCCATCAGCCATTTTTTGTTTTAAACTAAACTTAAATATTGAAAATACAAAGTATAAATAGCATTAGCTGTATCTGTCAAAGGACTGGCCAGGATGCTGTTACATCTTCCGATGTCCATCAACTTATCACTAAGCAGGCGTTCTCTAAGTTGTTGGTTTCGAACACATACCATCAAAACATGTTCTACGTCCTCTACCACACCCCAGATTTGACAATTTGGCGTAAATGTTAAATCCATTAGAAAGGTGAACTTTCTAGATGGGATGTGTCCAGAGCGTAACCTCATAGCCGTTATCAACCTATGTCTACTCAAAGAACAATTATTAATCACCAGGTTGTATAGTTTTATACCAGATACTCTTTTTGGTTGATCTATTATCGAAATATTCTTTCAGGGATTTAAAGCAGTATTCTTTTACGAGATATAGGCAGTCTAAAAAGTAAGGCGGTATTGAAATAGATATACCTTCAGAACAAGCCTGCTTTGCACGTGTCAACCATTTCGTTTCCAGGTATGCCTATGTGAGATGGAATCCACTGATGGTGTACTGTTTTACCGCTTCATTCTAACTACAATTTGTTTAATAATTGTGTATGCTATCGGTGGTCCTCAAATTGTCGAAGTACACCGAGCTACATGTAGGAGGGCACTTTTAGCGTCAGTAAAAATAACGAACTTGTCGTGGTCAGTAGAATGAATGTAAGATAACGTTTCACTAATAGCTATTACTTCAACATACATGATCGATATTTTTACCCTAATTCTTTAGCGAGCGAATGTACGTAATTTTTTGAGGATCAAAGAAGGCCGCCCTCTGCCACGTTTTTTCTTTCGATCCATAGGTAAATATCTGGTAGGTTTCAGTAGGTTATCTGGTCTATTCGGAAAGCGAGTATCAATATAATTAAAATACAAGTCTCTCAAAACGGATGTCACATATTGCTGTTTAGGCTTGTGTATGTATTCTAATCTATATAGTCCATCCACACCCGGTTCTGAAAAAATTGCATTAACATGATATAAGCGAAATCGGTCTCAATGCCGATGAGGAGAGAGTCCCTCCCAGGTTTAGGGATAGGTATATTACTAATATCGTGATTTTGACTGACTTCAAACGGTCAGAATTCGTTCAAACTTTGTAGATATACCGAGGACCGATAACAATACACTAATTTAAAAAAAAATAGTTTAAAAAAAACTAAAAAACACGCTTTCTATAGAAAACCAAACTAAAAAAAGAGAAAATAAATTTGAAAAAAAGCGTGGGGTGCTTTTTACTATTGACACCAGGCACCCAACGCTTTTTTTTTCAAATTTATTTTCGTTTTGTAACCTTTAATTCACCTAATTTTATATCATAGTCCGCTCACTGAGGTTGTTTCGTCTATAGAATTGCAAAATTCTTGCCAAGACTGTCTTTGGGTCTGTCTAAGCATACTCCGTGAAACACTTCTTTTTAGGGTAATTAAATTTGCTGGGGTGGGGTTACGTCGAAAGTTGGCTTGTGCTAGGTCGCCTCTCTGCCACTGGATTTGACACTTGGATAGTTCCGGATTCTAATATGGTTTAGTCAGAAAATTACTTGAAGGGTTAGTACTGAATTTTATATTGGGGATGCACTTTTCGGCGGCATCGCATAAAACATTTTTGAACGAATTATAAGCTACTTGCGGATTATAAAGAGATCATAAGTATAAAAAATTTAATCATAGCCTGTCTAGTTAGCCCTTTTAAAAAATCTTTTTTGATACTGCTCATTTGAGTAAAATGAAGTAGATAATTTAAAAATCATGTGATCGCTTGCAAACGTTTTATTTGATACCATCAAAATCCAATAAATATCAGAAGACGCCATAGATAAGTCAGGTGAAGATTTCCTACAAACGTCCTACAAAGGGCTACCATTGTTTAATATCATATAGTTATAGTCTCTTTAATGTTTTCCCACACACGCCGAAACCGCCATTTCGGCGTGTGTGGCTATTTCGCGAGATTTTTTGCTGGTATGAGGTTGTGTAATTTGAGGATCGTGAGGGTCAGCTGAATCTTCGGGGTTAGAGTCAGTGTCACTACAACATTATCGGACAGTTGAACTGGCACTTTTGTTTTCTTTTTTTTGTGAGTCTTTTTTGTTGTAGTTGTCTTTGGTCGCCCGTTGATCTTCGGCTAATTCTAATTGTTCGGTGTTACAACTCGGTGCACTGGTGTTAGATGATCCTTGAAAGGCAATGCAATTGTTGCTATTACTTAAAAACTTGTTTACTTCGACTGTGCGACGAGGAGAAGGCGGAATAAAGGTCACGGCTTTTTGTGTGTGGGAGTCGCTGCAAGTACACTTCAGCTGTGACATAATATTACGAATCTGTCTTTCCCCTGCGTAAACTGGATAATCCCTTGATAGCGAAATATGGTTAGCAGAGCAGTTGACACACTAATAAATAGGTATATCATACATAAGGATTTATGGTTACTATAGCACAGGCTATACCTACCTAATTTGGGATCATACTGCCGTGTGGAAAGGTATTTTTAGCACTCGTATGGATGTTCGAACACTGAAAGTTAGGTTCTAATCATTACGATGTTCACGTTAGGTATAATACAAATACCGCTAGAATTGCCACTAAGATTTTTTTTATACGAGTTTAAACCAATTCAATGGCAAAAAGTCTATTTAATTCAAAAATCCTAAACTTTAATCCGTCATTCCAAAAGACGTTTTCTATTTTTATGGTAAACCTATTGTTGTTCGTAACCAATGGTAAAGGGTCGTAAATCTTCGTTTTATCACATTGTTGGAAATGATATTTGTTTTGTTTAAAACAGATGTGCTTTCATACTTTAGAGTAGTCGGCCTGTTGTTTGGTTTGTTACTAAAAATTAGATTTGCATAGATAAGGGACCATTGATATTTACAATGTTTGACAACAAAAGATAATAAGTAGCTTTTATGTCTTCCTAAAATGTTTGCATATTTAAATTGCGTTTTTATGTTACAACCGTTAAGCGAAAATTAGAACAGGACTGAGATACTTTTCTCTCTGTCTTATTATTATTTGTAGAACCATGTTCTACTGTTTCCTCTGGCTTGCTCCTGTCCATACTTACAAGTAAGCTTACAGTTTAAAAAACAAGTGAAACATTTTGTATTCCATTTTGCAGTGTCCCAAATATATAAATATATATAATATAATAAAGAAATATGTTTTTTGAAATTTAATGGTTTATTGTTCCAGATGCTTTTCGTTAAAATGCCCGCTATACATTGAAATGGATTTGGTTGAGTTCAAGAATACTGCTAAGGAAGGTTACTAGAAGAAGTAATAACAGACTGTTTGTGTTTTCAGTTTATTGTCAAAGAAGGCATTTATTATAATAAATAGTATATTTAAATTATGTTGTTTTTATTTTGCTTTGAATATAATATCTTTGTTGTACTGTGATTTATCAACTTTACAATGTACATTATTTCACATACATAATACACATATTTTACACAATGCAACCATCATTGTGCTCCCAATGTCACTTACGTGAATTTATAAAAACGTTTTAACGTATGTGGGGTTAACCCACAGTTAAGCTGGTTTGAGCGGTGACCCCTCAAATCATTGATCAACCTGTCGCTGATTAATACTGGTTATCAGTGTTATTTAACGAATTTCAACTCCTGTCTTTCAAGAGTTTTACATATAGTTTATGTTTTTATGAATTATGTTTGAAAAAGGTATATTTAGATTGTAAATCCTACCTTACTGGTTTAGTCTAAGCTGCCATCATGAATATAATGTTAATCCTACTTTGACAACTGCTGTTATAAACTAAAACTAATATAATTAATATCACATAAATCAGATCCATCATAATAAAAGATTCTTAAAATACTACATAAAATATAATAAGCATTAAATGTGAATATTAAAAATGTTGCGGCGTCTTTAAACGTCTGTAAAACGCTCTCTCACAGAGAATATTATGGGTCTCTATACCACCATAATAACAATTAATATTTGTATAACATATTTCGTGATTTATATTTATTTAGGGACGCTTCTACACGATGCAAGTAGCTTGCGCATGTCGCGGCACTTGCGCAGGTTATTTGCTTCGCGAAAAGGACTATGTGCAGGTACAGACAGCTACATGCACCGTGTACAAGCACCCTTGTACTGAACTGTTACAAATCTGAAACGAGCAAGACGCATACATGTAACCCGCGTGAGCAGCCTGCTCATTATACCAACCACACGTGCATGCTACTGACGCGACTAACTCGCGTCTTTTCTCTCTAGCTACTTGCATCGTATAGAAGCACCCTAAAACAGACAGTTTTACTCAAGTACCTATTAAGGACTCAAATACGATGAAACTAGCGCACAGATGAATCAAATTTTAAAACATTATAATTTAAGCTTTTTTTGTTAAGTTTTAAAAGCTATAATTTTTTTTAAGTACAGTCAAATCATAAGCTAATATTTGTGATGAGTAAATGAAAGTAATATGTAGCGAATAAATGGAATAAGATATAGGGTTTACTCTATATACATATACTTTAGTATGGTCACCAAATTATTGAGTGCAGAAATAATAACGTCAGATGTTCTCTAAACGGAATAAGACTGATGTATTGTACTGTATTTAATTAACTATCCGTGTGGTGTTGGATTAAGAATACGGAATGTTACCACCTCTATTCATCCCGTGGGTGTCGTAGGAGCCGACTAAGGGAGCAAACTACGGAGGACAACAGCACTGTAAAGAGAAGGAAAACTTGAAACAAATCCTATACCAACTCGTATGGCCAGCGTGGTATAGTAGACCAAAATCTCCTTTCTTAGGAGAGGCCTATGTCCAGCAGTGGACTATTATAGGCTGTTGAAATGATATGATATTGTACTCGTACTGTATTACTTGTATTTTCTATTGAATACATTTAAAAATGGTGTTTGTGTATTTTTTTGACTCATAATTTAAACTTTGGAGCATCTTGTACAATTTTTGTACACTCGCTCAAGAATTGTATTATGGAGATTTGAATAATTTTAGAGAAAGTAAAATTGACAAACATAGCTAAAACGGTTAAAGATCTGTGGTTCGTTGTTCACACATAAAAAACTAGAGGGAATCATAAATTATCACCCCTTATATTCATTTATAAACGCAATTTTATGCCTATTAATTGATCTAAGAGTATTCGAGACTTAGTTTAAAATTCGTCGTGCTTAATATACCCTCGTTCAAACCCAGCTAATAAATGTTCATCATACTTAATTAAATGAGGTTTGATATCTTGCAGCATACTTTCATGGTCTTTCACTTGTATGGTGATGACAGAACTGAATCGTTGGTTTGGGCTCCTATTGAGGTAGAGCCTGAGGGATGGGTAACTCATGATTTGTTCGTGTTGGCACAGGTTCCTTTCGTTCAGACAGTTCACTTTACCCAGTTGAACCGCATTATTTAGAAGCTGTAACAAGGCAAATATAACGATAACTTAAGATTTAAAAAAAATGGTTAGTGCTTTGAATAAAAGTATTATAAACTGACTAAAATAAACTCGCGTTGAGAACGTTCCGTACGATAAATGTACGTGAAATGTATCATTCTTGTTTATAGTGCTTTGCCGGCCTTAAATGAAACTAAATTAAATATTTTCATAACTAAATTAAATATTGTCATAACTAAATTAAAATTGAGTGCACTAACATATTGGACATGTTCTTAGCGCCAACAGGCTTGAAGAGTAACGGATATGATTGGCTTAGGCAAGTCGCAATTAATAAATTTGAACGCACAATATACCCATAGTTTTCTCATAATCTATAAGTAAAGAAAACATCTACTTTCTGTATTTTTTAAACTGTTTTGAATAGAACCTGTGACACTTCAGACCCGATGTTGACAAGTCTATCATTATAAGAAGTTATATTATCTAGAAGTAACTACAAAGCAGGATCAACGCAAAAGCAAACAGTTTATTTATATAGAGTTTTTAAATAAAAATTAGTAACAGATCTAGTATTTTTTGTCTGAAATCTGTAAGCCGTGAACTTTAATCATGTGTCACGATAAAAATACATCTCAGAATTACACATAGTGTACTGCAAAACAATACTTACAATGCCGGCTATCGCGAAGTCTGAGAACATTTCGTAGCATTTGTAACATCTCGGAGAGTGGAAGTATACCAGCCAAGGTTTCTTGCCACTGAAAATAACATCGACTATAAGCCTTGCACTCCGGGAGTGCTGACAGAAGTGAAAACTTATATCCTTAAATACAGAGTATACAGGTAACGGTAACAATATCGCGAGATCAATTGTTTTTTTCCATCTCAATAAATGCCCATCGCGCCTAAAGAAGATTTCACTTCAAAGGAGGTGTCAGCAACGGTAACAGTGTCGCGAGTTCAATGGTTTTCATTTCAAAAATGTGTTTTTTGTTAAACCATAAAATACATTCTTTTGTTTGCTGTCCAAAAATGCCCAATAAAGAAAATTTCACTTCAAAAATACTGCTGAATTCTTAATATTAGTTTAAAAGCAATACGCAATCTATCGATTAAATATAATTAACTATTGGGCATATGCCGCGCCCCTATATGAGAGGGGTATGTTACCACCACACTGGACTACTACGGGTTAGCAGATTTCAACCAACAAACGACATAATTACGTCGTTTTCGATCAGTAGGTCACCTGTACTTTAAGTTACCGTTTGTACGTTCAATCGATTTCGTTTACCTTATGAATAATTTATCTTACCTAGTTGGATTTAACTCTTCAGCTATGACTTGCTTACTGAATGTTTGCCAGCTCAACTTCTGTATCGAATCGTCGATATACTCTAAGGCCCACTCTAGCATGTACGGGGCTTGGGAGAGGTGTTGTAAACTAACACTGGAATGGAAAACCGTTATATTATTCTACGAGTTAGTCATAACTTTTCTGTACAGTCCGAAACTCTATGTTCAGTGATCTTGATTTCGGTGGGTGAAAACCCTTCAAAGTGTTGATCAAACTGTTGATCAATCAACAATTAAACTGTTGATCAATTTAATTAATTGATCAAAAAGCAAAGATAACATAATTTTTTGTATAAACACACGCCACGAATATATCTGCCAGGGTAGGCAGTGATGTTGTGTACTCTTGAAATGAGATGAAAACTATTCCTTTCTCTGTTGTCAATAAGACTAGAAACCTCAAATTTGTATGTTGTGCAGATGGGGCAACTGACCTGTAGTGATGGCCCGAAGCAATAGGATAGAGTCGCGCCGTGGGTGACCTGATGTTGTGGCAAAACCCGCCCGATTGTTGCGCACAGTTTAAAACACCTACACGAACAAATTCTAAGGGCTGAAGCTGGAAGTAAACAAAGTATTCGCAGTTATTACACAAAATTAAGTATTTATAAGCTGCGAATATGACTGAGTTATCATCGGTATTGTAAATGCAATCCCAAGTGTAACTGCTCACCTTCTTGGCCACGATCATCCACTCGTAAGCGAGTTGATCGCAGAGTTGTCCACAGCGGGGCGGGAGGTAGGCCACGAGCCAGCTGTGCTCGCGGCTCGACGCGTCCAGGATCTCCAACACTTGTTGTTCGTTCAGCTGTAAATCTGTTAGTATCCCTACTGGGTAAGTACGACGTAATAAAATGGAGTTTGGGTAACTGCAAAACATTATGGTTTTGAGTCACGTTTAGCGTGTCATGAATCTTTCAATAATGAAAGATTCATGACACGCTAATAAGGAATATTGTTTTTTCAGTAAGATTGAAGGAGATGGTTGGACCAGATCATAAATCCTCGTATGTCATTTTTTAGGTAAGACTAAGGCACAAAAGTCAGTTTTTTTTTATAGTTTAATACTTAGGTTCTTCACACTATTAAAATCAACTTAGTATCTATAGAAGATAGTAATATATAGTACAAGGCCAGTTTAAGTATATTGACTTTCACGCCTCTGGCGCCCTCAGAGGATATTGGCGGTTAGAGCCATACGCGGTTACCTCACCGTTTCGACGGAGGCGGCGTGAGCATTGGCCGGTACTCCTGGGAATTGGAGGCGGAAGTGCTCGCCGAAGTATATCGGCGGACGGCTGAGTACCGGGCGGATAGTGGCAGTAGGCCCCCGCCCGAAGAGATACGTGAGTGGCGCGAGGCCGCTCGTCGAGCCACGATGGCTCTTTGGTCGTCCCGGCTGGAGGCTCCAAATGCTGGCTTTGCCGCCGTGGAGGCGCTCCAGCCGGTCATCGTCGAGTGGGCAGGGCGGCAGCACGGGACCCTTTCTTTCCGGCTGACGCAGGTCCTGCACTCGGTCGCCAGGAGGGAATTGAGTCCCGCCTGTCACCACTGCGATTGCAGTGAGGACTCGCCTCAGCACACGCTGGCAATTTGACCAGCTTGGGCGCCGCAGCGCCGGGTTGTCATTACAGTCATCGGGGGGATCTCTCGCTGCCGGTCGTCATACGCTCCATGGCCGGTAGTGACAGATGTTTCACCGCGGTCGCATCCTTCTGCGAAGACGTCATCTCGCAGAAGGAGGCGGCGGAGAGGGCCCGGGAGGATGTCCGCGTGTGCCGGACGTCGTCTAAATGGATATTTTACCCGAAGGTGGTGCACGCGCCTTTGCGGGCAGGCGTTAGGAGGGGTCCGGATGTCTTAATAACAGCTGTTCCCGGATCCCTCCTGTTACAGGCGCAGAGTGGCACACCGTGTGGTTTTAGTCGGTCCGAGTCCGACACACCACCCCGCCGCAAACTCCGGTGGGGTGACGGCCCGAGAGGGTTTCCACACGTAAAAAAAAAGTATATTGACTTTGCATTTTTATAGGCATTTTAAAGCAATATAAAACATATTTACATGTGTTTTATTCGTCCTTATACTAAGTTTAAAGTTTGTAGTGATAACTTACCGCCACTGTCTAGAACCATATCGATGAACTCTCTGAGCTGTTGCTCGTAATCCTGTCCATTGTAGACGTTCTGCTTATCTCCGGTCTGCACCAACACCGCGGGGTGTCGGTGCGTCACTTGGCGGCAGTACTGGTCCGTGTGAGCTGAACACGCCATTATACCGAACTGCATAAATTAACAAATACATCTTTACATAATATACCTATACATATCCGACACATTAATGTTTTGGTTTTTACGAAACATGATCGATGTATCTGTATTTTATTACTTGAGATTTGTTTGGAGGTACCTACGCATTTATTGAGCAAATGCAGACAGGAATGTAAAATTTTGAATACTTAGAGTTTATATGTAGAAGAAAAGGAAAACTTGGAACAAACTTCTATACCAACCCATCTGGTCCAGCATGGTATAGAGGACCAAATCGTCCTTTCTAAGGAGGGGTATATGTCCAGCAGTGGATCGTTACAGGCTGTTGATGATGGTGTGGTATGTAGAAGAAATGCAGAAAGCTAAAGTAACCAATATGTGCTATAAATTTAAGTCTTCTTAAGTTCTTGTAAAGTTAGCCTGTCTTGTAGACTCCCAAGTCGTTTTGGTCAATGTGTGAAACTGAAAGCCAGACGATCTTTTGTGTATTAAATATCAAATGTGTCGATCATACGTCAGTATATCGTATGTCAATGCATTGTCATTTAATAAGCATTATTATGCACTACTTAAATCTTTTGATATACCTAAATACTGTACTGTATTATATACGTATTTAGGCAGTTATTTTGTACCCTAATCTCCTATCACGGGTCTACAAAACTGTACTAATGGGTACTTAAGTACCCATTATATATGTATATCTGCAATGTAGATTACAAATTGAAGATAATTTTGTTCACGACAAACATTTAATAACAGCGTAATTAGGAAATTAGCACTAAGCAATACATTTGTTGAAGTGACCTATAAATTATTTCATGTAAATATCACAGCAGGTACCTAAATGTTACGAACTCAATTTATTGACACCGCATATAATGTAATTCCTTTTTCTTAAAGGAAGTAAAACTTCAATTTTGAATCTTCTCTTTCAGGAATGGTGTCGAAACGCTCAGATGGCCATTTTTAAATGGTAAATACTCGTAGTAATAAAAATGTAAAACCATATTCTAAACAACCAACGTTGATTGTTATTGTATGTTACATATCTCTTTAAATGTAGCTACCGATACAACAGACAATTAAGGGTATAACATATGTATAGTACTCGTAATGTCTTCTTACACTAATGTCGTCTCTGTTAGCAAAGTGTCGGCTGGCTCTAGTGAAGGAATCCGCGATGTGTTCCCACGACGACTCGTGGGGGGCCACGAGAAGGACCCAGGAACCTACATCACCTGAAAACATTTAAATCTACTTACAAAAAAGAAGTCGTTTGTTTACTGTAATTTTATTTAGGGACATAATAATATATACAAAATATTAAAATTATAAATTTTAAAGAAATTGTCGTTATATCAGTATGTGTGAGTGTTGAGTTGAGAATGTTGAGTATCCAGGAAAAATGAGAACTACACTCCATAGGCTATTCAATAATCCAATATGTCATAGGTTATTCATTCTTTCAAATTTGTTTGGTTATGCATGCATAGTATACCTATGTGCATAGTTTAGAATTTTGTTAATAAATGAAAGAGCTTGACTGGCAGAATACACTATCACAAATTTCAAAGCCAGTGTCGGTTTTTTTTTAATTTTATTTAATTAAAACACTTAAAAACATTACATATGTTGTTTCTAAGATTCTTTTGTTTTCGATTCTTCGCAAATTCTGTAGAAGTCTAGCTCATCCTTTTAGTAAAATTTAAAGAAATCCGACGTGGTTTGTTTCCTTTTATGATCACTCTCGGTAAGGGGTTAAAAACACCTTCAAACATGCCGCCGCCCTTTGTTGTTACAAGTATAAAGAAAACATCGTTAGCAGGGAATTGCAAATCTATCCCAGGTACACGAATCTTATTACTTTCTTTTGTTCTATGATCTCAAAAAAAAAAGCTCTTTCGCACATTTGTATTTTATGTTACGTTGTAGTGATTAAGTAAACATTTGTGTATATTTGTGTTCAGTCAACTTAAAAGGAGATAAAAACATTTGAATATATGTGGCATAATTAAATATTGCTAAATATGTGGTAGGATATATTTTACACGCAGTTCAGTTTTAACAACCCTATTTTGTTTTATTTTGTGTCGGTGAGTACTGGGCATGTTAAGGCGGATACAGACATTGCGAGGCACGTGCAGTGAACGGTGTTCATCGCTTGCTTCCCAATGAGTGGTCGTTCACAGTCGTGTAGTATGCAGTGTGAGGGCGAGCGTATGTCGGCAAACACTCATCAACCAAAGCGGACGTGTGGGTGTGGCCAGACACTCGCTATGCGATTCGCGTTTGCAGCGCACGACGCGTATCGAGTCATTGAGCATATGTTAGGATCGATCCAGCTTACAAAATACCATCATAATGGCACTACGGCATCGCTGATGGTGCTTTTACACCAATTCATTCGATTATTGAAAACAAAAGAAAAGATAAAGGCGCTTTGATTTGCTGGCTTGTCTGCTACGACAAATATTGTGTGAGGAGCATGATAATTTGTTCATTGTGTAATATGTTTACACGTCAAAGTTATATATATAAAAATTAAGCAATTTTAACTTGTTTAAAATTGCTTAATTTTTATATATAAATATTTATTTTATATATACATATGTATATATTAATATATATATTAATTTCGAATATTAAGTGCATTTTTACTTTGTTAACATGGCTATTTCAAAAACTATGATATTGACTGACTTTTAAATTGATTGACTTTAAAGCTGCTGAAAAACATTGCTTTTTTTTAGGTCAATAGTAAAATAAAAATATAACAGGGACAGGCGATATGTACGTCAGTGGGATTACTATTACAGTCCACAACAGCACAATTTCGAATATTAAGTGCATTTTATGCTTGTATGCATACATATTATAAATATCGGCAAAGTCTATTTGAAATATACGAGTATCTTATCTGAAACGATCAGAGCGGAAGGGGGTACTCACCCCCGTCGAGTATCCTGAGCAGGTCAGAGGGCGACAACGAGTGCAGGTTGAGCGCGTCGGCCGCGGTGCGTATGAAGTGTCGCACGTGGTGCGAGTGCGCGCGCTGGTAGGCGCCGCCGCGCTTGAGCAGCGCCCAGCTCGGCGCGCGCGCCTGCAGCGACGCGCACAGCTGCTGCCGCTCGTCGCACGAGATCTCACCTGCGACAGTCGCGATGTGTTCATGTACCCTTGTACTGACCGACGAGTTACTGTTAGGTAACTCGTCGGTCAGACCTGTCCTGTCCGTCGGTCGTTCCCTTATTGCCGCGACGCGTCTCGAGGCGGTTTCGGTCTTTGAGCGTATTCGTTACGTATAAATTAGACCGACCTAGTCTTTAACTCGGTTCAACTTACCGAAGTTCATGTGAGGGAATGCAATTTGCATTTGATATAACTGTAACTTGTCGACTCCCTTTGACGAGAAGAACAAAACCCATGCTTTCTGTGAGCCGGTACGTAATTCGTTTCTTATTTCCTATAAACAAATAGTAAATGTTAGTTTCGAGATCTTTTACGACGAATTAGGGATGTTAATATAGTGAGGAAAGTTTATTAATCAGAAATGTTAAGAAAAACAATAAACAAAGAACAGACATCGCGAGGCATTCGTCGCACACGCCTCGCCTTGATATAAATTTGCCTCAAGTATTAATAAATATCGAAAACTCGGGTCGATCCAACCGCGTAAGAAGCCTAGCAACGTGCGTACCTTCAATTGTGTCGGAAATATGCCTCACCACAATTGCACATGCGCAATGACAGCAATTTTTTTCTTTTCCTTTGTCTTCAATAATTGAATGAATTATTATAAAAGCAGCGGTGCCATTATGATTGTGGTATATAGGCTGGATCGATCCTAGCATGCGCCGAATGTCTCGAGTAGGTCCATTTTCTTAGCTGAGGTATGCGTTGAGCGTCGTGCGCGGTACACGCCTCGCGTAGTGAGTGGCTACGTTCATACGTCCGCTTTGATCGAGGAGCGTTTGCCGCCATGCGCAGGCTCGCTACGACTATGAACGTCCACACATTACGAAGTATGCGATGAACCTCGGTTCACTGCACATGGTCACATTGTCTGTATCCGCTTTAAGACGTAGTTTTTAGAAATCGTAAAAAAAATCATTTAACGATTTTCATACCTTCAGCTTCTCTGGGTCAATTTGTTGAATGCTTGGCAGTGCTTCAACAATCTCTTGCAATATTTCCTTTTCATCCATACTTTCGATTTCTTTGTTGATGTCTTTGTACCTGAAAACCACTGTCGTGTAGTCATCGCCGGTGAGTTTTTTGCGGATATTGTCGTCTTCTACCAACACCATTTGGACGAAACCGTGCTGTAAAAGATTGCATGGATATAATAATAATTATTATTTATTTGACCGATATACATTACGATATAGTCATTTCGGTTTAAAATAGATCCTAGACAATAATTAGACTAAGTTGCACAAGCGTAAAACTAGTAGTAGTATAGTAGTAGTATAGTATAAAGTAGTAGTAGTATAGTACTGTTATTTTATTCTTCTGATTGTATGATTCGTATCGTATGATATTTTACACATAAAGGTATTAAGATTTAGTTTAAAACTTTAGTCGCTGCCTGCCTAAACTAGGGTAAAATTGTGTTTCAGGCGATCGCTTGACATAGAATTAATGATGACATAGAACTAATTATTAATTAGGTAGAAATGTAAAATAAACATAACATAAACACAACTTCGTGTCCGTTTACTGTATGTTTGTAAAGTACCCCGTGACACAGGATATATTTCTAGGGCGGGAGTTGTCTTTGAAAAAAAAAAAACGTTTGCGTCTCGGGATGTGATAACTTAAACTAATCTAAGTTGAACTATTTACTATTAAAATTGTTTAACTTGAGAAAAGCTTAGGTTATTACTTAAATTTTATGTATATTAATATGATAATGTAAGGAAAGGTTATTTATTAACAAAATCTTTTATTGATTTTAATTTTTTTCTTAGTTACAATTCTTGAATATGTACATTATAATTTTGTGTATGTACATTATTAGTATTATTATTTAATCCTATAAAAGTAACAATTGGCGTAATGGTAGCTATAATAAGCAAGAGAGAGGAGGAGCCTGCTTACCGCTGCCGTATGCGTGAGAGCAAGGGAAGCCAGACAGACTGGCGCCATAACGCGTTACGTAACGTAGCGGTTTACCCTTCCATAAGAAGTTATTACTTAAAAAAAAAAGAGAGACATGTATATTGTCACCCTTTGAGTTCTCTTTCCCTCCAAACGTGCGTTTGGTAAGCTCGGTGACCTCATTTACTCCGTGAAAAGGAATGAAAGAATGGTTTAACATCTGATCAAATGCCATAAGTTGCATTCTATGTCTTACAATGGTAATCATAATTATTGTGAATCATATAGATTTCTTTCCTTTATTAAGACAACTCCCGCTCTAGGCATATATCCTGTGTCGTGTGGGACTTTATGAACATTAATGAAACGGACACAAAGATACTCAGAGCAACAATCTGTGGATCACACAAAGTGTTGTCCCATATGGAGCGTCACAAAACTTAGCGCAGTAAAAAGCGGCGAAGTGGCCGCTTAAACCACTATGCCATCCATGCATAGATGAACTGAGCGCCTAAAGGTACTTCAACCGTTTCTGGTCGGGTTGGTGGAAACAAAGATATTTTAAGTGGCATGGAAAGGTCGCGTGATTTTCGCTCACGGGAGAGTTAACGGAAGCCTACAAAATCAAGGCCGTAGGGCAGGATGGGACACATGTCCCACTTTATAATCCCATAATCGGTAACAACAAACAATACAAAACAATACGTGGTGCTTCCCTGTTTAAAAGGGTGTATGCCCATTTTACTTCATTTTGTCTCCCGCTTTGCTAAGTAGGGAAGTGGATTTACTGTATTTCCAACTCCTCCAATTTTCTTCTGATTAATTTCGTTGCGGGTTCCAAGACATTTTAATTTCTTCCTGGGACTTCCCGAGTGTCATAACTCGGTGTGTTCGTGGGTCACTGCTGTGGATCCTGGTGTACAGGAGTTACAGTGGTGGGCGTGTGGGTGGGATTAGTCCCAATTACAAACAATACAAACCCGATGGCCCATAACTGAGTAGAGCGCGCGGGAGCCATTTAGTAAAAAGAACATTTCAATGGGTTGAATAAACAACTTACCAAGTGATAGGCGATTCTTGTGAGTGCATTTCTGTCGAGCCTATTAGCGCCCATCACGTAAGCCATGGGTTTGTCAGTGTTCCTGATCTGTGCCACAACAGGCACGTGCACTTGGCTGCGGATGAACTGCAGTACAAACTCGTCGAGAGATTCCAGGGAGCGGTCGCCTCGGTAGTAAACGAAGTTGCCATTTTTACCCTGCAGGTTTCAGTGCAAAGTCATATAGAGCGACTATAATGTAAAGTGGTAAATAAGTATAAATATAAATCAGTATCCAACAGGTCATCCAGGACTGTTGGAAAATTCTGTTAAAACCAGTACACAACATTTATTTTATATTTTGTTCCTATAGAAAAAAACACAGTCATGAATTTCAGGTTTGAATAATATACGAGGGGTGATCAATAAGTAATGATAATCGAGTATTTCTAGAACGCACAAAAACCCAAAAAATTTTTTTTTCTGCTTGCTTATATATCCACTACTTCAGCTTCAAAAAAATGTATAAATAGGACACCATTACCGGGAGATACATTCATTTGAATACGAACTGTCGAATAGAAAACATCAAAATGGAGAAAAATGAAATAAGAGCTGTCATCAAGTACCTCTGCCTGAAAAAAATGTCTACCAAAGACATACACAGCGACTTAGAGGAAACATTGGGGGAGTCTGCTCCTCCATATTCCACAGTCGCACGCTGGGCAAAGGAATTTAAGCTGGGCAGAACCTCCACTGAAGATGAACATCGCGAGGGACGCCCTTCCACGTCCCTTACTGGAGGAAAACGTCAAAAAAGTGGAAGATATCGTGTTGGCCGATCGAAGGGTGACCGTAAGGCATGTAGCTGAGGTCACAGGGATCTCCTATGGCAGCGTTCAAAAAATCATTGTCAACAAAATGCATATGAAAAAGGTCTCTGCGCGTTGGGTACCGAGAATGTTAACCGACGAGCAAAAAAAAGAAACGAGTCGACATTTCGAGGGTGAATCTTCAAAAGTTCCAGGCCGATAAAGAATTTTTTTTGTCGCGTTTTGTGACCATGGACGAGACCTGGATCCACCACTTTGATCCCGAAACCAAACAACAATCAATGACTTGGAAACGAGCTTCCTCACCAACGCCGAAGAAATTCAAAGTGTCAAGTTCAGCGGGAAAGGTTATGGCGTCTGTTTTCTGGGATGCAGAAGGAATTATTATGGTGGAATATTTGGAAAAGGGGGCCACTATAACAGGCTCTTACTACGCAGGCCAAATAACAAGATTGCGAGAAGCTATTAAGTCAAAAAGACGCGGTAAACTGCGCGCTGGAGTGCTGTTTCACCAAGACAACGCCCCGGCTCACAAAGCCGCAGTTGCGATGGCTGCCATTGAAGAAACGGGGTTCGAACTGCTCGAACACCCTCCCTATTCGCCAGATCTAGCTCCCAGTGACTTCTACCTCTTTCCTCGGCTCAAAAGAACACCTCCGGGGCAACAAATTTGAGGACAATAGTGAAGTGATGGCCGCAGTAGAGGCATTTTGGGAGGGTCAAGACAAATAATTTTTTTCTAAGGGAATCATGGGCTTAGAAAAAAGATACACTAAATTTATTAACTTGCAAGGAGACTATGTTGAAAAATAAAATACTTTTTTTAATCTAATAGTTCTGTTTCATATTGATTATCATTACTTATTGATCACCCCTCGTATATGACTACTTATTCAAAATATTTTGTATAGAGGTGCAGATAAATTTCAATTTTTCATATAATGATTACCGTCATTGCATGTCAAGGTGTTCGCTAATGACTGCTGTGCCAGTCAATATACGACCTTGTACCTACCGGCCTTGTTATTGGGTTACCTCCTATTAATAGTAAAACATCACTTTCCCAATAAAGCAGTTCATATACTATTAGGTTGTTACTTATCATATATATTGTTTAATTATAAAGTAAGAGATTTGTATAAAACTTTTAAAATGTATTTTTTTATTTTAGCTTAACAAAGCACTGGCTCAAATTATCTATACAATTTTGGCAGTTTGTATCCCTTTACTTATAGAGGCTGCTGGATGGGAGGCGATAAAGTCAGCGTAAGCGTTTGTACTGATTCTCGGGTGTAGAATTTTTTTTTGGAGTGCCTTTAGAAATTCACAGTGACCAACGAAGAAATTTTGAGTCTCAAGTATTTCAAGAGATGTGTCGAGCAATGGGTGCTCAAAAAACCAGAACCACCTCTTATCACCCACAATTGGACGGAATGGCGAAACGATTTAATCAAACACTGGAGAGGTATCAGGCAAAAGTTGTGGCAGGTAGGCAAAGAGATTGGGACAAACACATCCAACCGTCTCTTCTGTCATACCGAAGTGCAATTTACGAAAGTACTTCAGTAACACCAGCTTTCGCAAACTTCGGAAGAGAACTACGGTTACTCGCAGACTTGACAGACAATCGGGCCACCAAATGTCTGTAAAGATAAAAACCCGTTATGACCGAAAAGGGAACAATAAGGGCTTCGAAGAGAGTTCTTCAGTGTGGCTGCATAATCCAGTGCGTAGTAATGGTAGATCGCCGAAGCTACAAGCCAAATGGGATGAACCATACCGAGTGGTGACAAAAAATCAATGATGTTAGCTACCGGATACAGAAGTGTCCAAGAAGCGCTCCTAAGATTGTTTAAGATTGCACCTAAGATTGTTGGGCGCGATAGTGCTCGGGACGAACTTGTCTCAGCAGGGGCAGTGTTGCGCCATAGGATTGATAAGTTCGAATGTTCGAGAGAGTTGTATGGAATGTGGAGAACAGCGCCATCTAGTATCAAGTAAAGTACAACTATTGAGATTGTGATTAATAATTGCGCTTGATGACGCTGCAAGTAACGGGTAACTGATACTGGAATATTCTTATTTGTCTGGAAAGTTCCATTAATCTTCGGGATTGGTTTAGTAATTGCGATAACACTATGGAGCGGAGCGTGATCGCCGTACGGGACAGTATCGTTTTACGACACAGCGAATTCAAAGTGAATTTCTAGTGCGACTAACGAGTTATATATAGTTCTTGTTTGTTATAGTGAATGTTTGTAAATACAGTGCAATAAAAGTAATTTACCGACAACTTTTATTTATTATATACACGCTCGTAACAGTATTCTATAAATCAATCTAACTTTCATAGGACAAGTTCAGCTTAGTTTGAAACTAGATGGCGTTGTGTGGCAGATGACCGAAATATCATAACCTATTATTATAAAGTTATAAAGAGAAGGAAAACTTGACACAAACCCTGTACCAAGCCGTTTGGCCAGCGTAGTAGTATTGATCAAAACCTCCTTCGTGAGGAGAAGCTATGTAATGGCTGTTGATGATGATGATGATTAAAAAAAGGTGTTCCCCTTCATACTCGGTGTAAAACTAGGTATACCTAGATTTATTACATCTTTAGGTATTCTCTTCTGATTTTAGCGTCAACCTTAAAATCGAATTTTAACACTACATAAAATTATAAACCAACTATCATAACGACCTAACAGGTACTTAACCCACATTATGCATGCAAAATAAACATTTTAAAATGGTAACAACAACAATGTTGTTATTATTATAGGCAAGGTGGTTAAACACGTAATAAAAGATATAGTTTCCAAGTATCATTTCTATGTTCGTGACACTATAAAACATTTTAATACAGAGTAATAAATTATATTGGTACTGTAAAGATGTGTTGGTACTGTATAATTATTACGAAGAATGTTTTAAATAAACTAAGAAGAACAAGAGTAGTCATATTGCGTTTTTTTTTTTGGTAAATGTAGGCGAATAAACATATTTTATTGTCATTCAAAAGTTTATTCTTAGTCTGAAACTGCAATTTAGGGACGATTGAGGAATATATCTACAGGAACAATACTTGGTTGTAAGTTATTTAACGTTTAAGTTTAAAATTTGTAAGCTAATTTAAGGCGAGGTTGCAGCGATTTTGCACTTTTTTTGAAGAGAAATAAATACCCAAATATGCATTTATTGTGCATAAAAATAAATATTTTATAAAAATTAAACATATAATCTAGAGATCTGTAAAGATGGAAACATGATTTATGGAATTTGGCTCGATAAAAAAAAATCACAAACAGCACTAACTCACGATTTCAAAAAGAAATTGTTGTAAAATGCCACCATGGATTCACGTAAAATAGAGCTTATTTTTTTTTAGGGATTTATAAGGATACATTTTTACATAGTTGTACTTATAAAAAAGGAACCAAAAATATGTTTTTGCGCTTGCTTACGGCGGCGAAGTTCGCCTGTCAAGTGTCAGAGCTCGCTGAGCCTTGTTTGAGGTCGGACGCACGTCATTTTGCTCCGTGACATTCCCCCGCGCAAATACGTAAAATTCGTTTTCACAAAGCTTCAACAGAATACTTATAAGTTAATTTTAATATAATTATTCCTTTTATTTTATTAGCTTTTTTTTGTTGACTTCAATCAAATGTGGGTAATAAGAAGAACAAAAATTCAGACAAGAAATTAAAACCTTGGACAGGTAGAAAGTCTTTCATTGCAAAATGATAAGTAACGTCTTCATATTATATTTATTAGTAGTAATTTTCACTACATTACATTACTATATAAATGTATTATGAAATTATTTTAATGTTTTTAACGCGTACTTTGTAACACCAGATTATAAATTTACTAAGAAATAATTATTTATATAAATAATTAAACAACCTCTACCTAAATATTTATTTGTTTTATGGTAAATTATTTCCGTTGACAAAGTTTATAAAACACAAAAATACTAAAATTTTACAAACACATCAGTTTCACTGCGCCATAGTCTAAAAAAATCAGTATACATGCGAGTACGGTAAATAAACAGTATTCATTGGTAGTATAGAAAGAAGGTAATCAGAAAATGTTATTGGAAATCTCTAATTTTGGTATAGTCAGGCACATTTAAATTATGTGGAATTCAACAGTAATATAAATTTATTTATTGTTATTTTGCAGCACTTCGATGAGACAAAGCATATTCACAGGCGTAGTTGAGACCCTACAGAAATCAATTTCTATTGATCATAATACTACGTTTGTTTTTGTATTTATATAAATGGAATAACTGTTTTTTTTTTTAGTTTTGTCGTGTGAAAACTAAACAATGACACTATTTTCAGTGAACAAGAAAACATTCAATACGCGACATTGCAA